GTTAATTTCAGTTTTGGAAAAAGGAAGTAATCACATGGAAGTCACGCGAATTTAAAAGATGTTGAAACAGACTTGTTTTTCCTTCAAAAATTCACGAACAGACAGTTCTGTGACATAGTGATCATGCAACAGAAACCAACTTCTCGGCGCTTGATATTCGGGCCTCACACGAACGATCCTCTTCCACAAATGTTCCATAACACCCAGATAATATTCGCCATTAACATTTTGTCTCTGTGGAACGAATTCCCGAAGTATAATTCCTTTAGAATCGTAAAAGCAAATTAACATTGTCTTCTCTCGGGACTTCTGGAATCGCAATTTTTTGATTTTGGAGAGCCTGGAGATTTCCACGTAGCACTTTGGCGCTTTGTTTGAGGTTCATACTTGAAGCACCAAGTCTCGTCACTAGTTACAATTGATTTCAGGAATGTACAGTTTCGTCTGACTGTTTTGATAAAATCCTCGCAATATTCAACGCGAGCAATTTGTTGCGCTTGCCCGTGATTTTGTGACACGGTGACGAAAGGTTCTGTCGCGTTAAACGCTATAAGTTTACAATTCTCAATTCCAATAATGATTGTCGCGTTTTGAAGGGGATACTGTTTTCAGATAAAATATTGTTCTAATAAATGGCGCTAGTTTTCCTTAAATTTAAAAAGTTCCGTTACTTTTCCGACATACTGTGTATTTAGCAAAATGTCACAAGTGTCATGCTTCGTTTATAATTTTCACCATGTCGTCATATATCACCATGTGGGTATCGGAAACTTTTGTTCTTCAACCGAAAGTTGAAGAAGAGACTGTCCAATAAGTTTGCTATTTTCTTAGAAATTAATTTAGTCAGGCATTCGATTTTTTCCTGGAAAATATCCTGCCGATTGAGGTAATGCGTGTCATAAATTTGCATTCTGATTGTAATAGCCATTTGATACCGAATTTCGAAAATTCGACCTGCAATTGTGTTCGAGTACTGTTAGTCATTGGGGATTTCCCAAAGGAGTTAAATTTTCAAAATTCGGTCTGCTATAATGGTTCATTGTTTCTGCCCGAATTCTCGGAACAAAATTAAATTACCATTGTTAAACTTTGCCGCAATAATTATAATTCACGGTATTTTGTTGTTGAGGAATTTATAATATCATAACAAGTATAGTCGAGAAAAATAGTGAAAAGCAGATGGAGAAAGTTATTCAACGTTTAACCCCATTACCGAAGTAACAGTACATCTTGCCGGGTCCGACAATAAAAACTAGCACCTTAGGATCATAAATTTTCGAAAAATGACCCGGTGTCCTGCAAAGATACAAGCAAAATGTGCCAAAATCGGTGTAATTTGGCCTGTCCTTTTCCATAACGGGTTCTCCAATATTTCTCTTGCCTACGATTTTTCACCCTATTCACTCAATCCCTTATTTCATGCATCATTATTTCTCAAAGTAATTTTTTTATATTTTTCGTAATTGCAGAAAAATTTACTTTGTAAAATAAAAGCTCTAATTGGATTCGGTCGATGTTAACTGAAGAGGTTATTGCTTTTCGAGTTGACTGCAAGACTACTCATTACAGTCCTGTAAACCATTGCGGTTTTTTCTCATTGGGAGAATGGCGACAATCCAATTAGATTCACTTAGAACCGTCGCTGGAAGGTGGCACAATAAAAATAATCGTACCTTCCCTTAACGGTTGTACAGACCTGTGTGACCTTTCCGTTTTCTTCGAAGGGTTGCACCCTAGCGCGGTACAATTAACCTTTCTTCGAGATATTCTTTGCATGTTCAAATTTTGAAAATATATATTTTATAAATTTTTGGGTGACAAGTTATTTATTTACTGAATTGTTAAATTATGATATCATCAAATTAGTCAAATTGTCAAATTGTCAAATTGTCAAATTGTCAAATTATCAAATAGTCAAACTTCTGAATTAAAAAATTTTATACTTTAAAATTGTTAAACTTCAAATTTTTAAATCTCAAAAACTAGAAGCTAAATGTTCTCAAAATTGGACAATACGAAATTAAAAATATTAATTATTTGACTGAGAAACATTTTCATCTCGTTCTCATTTTGATTGTCAAGATGGTTGCGATTGTAAAATATTAAAATACTTGCTGATATTCAGCTGCTACATTAAACATAAACTTATTATGTTAAGAAATATTTGAGTCGTACATATTCTTTCACAGTCAAGAATAAATAAAATAAATTAAATTTCTAAATTCCTTTTCTCATTCATTTCAAACTAGAATTCCCGCCATTTTACATTCTCGAAATAAAAAATGCCACTCATAAACAATTAATGCGAATAGAAAATAAAGAAGCTTGCAAACTTAATATATGAACAATAAACAAAATACCACCCTGTAAATTAACATTTTGCCCTCAAAAAGTGACTTCCTCATGACTCAACGAATCCAAACAAATAAAATTAAATAGGTATTTTTTAACTAATTTTATAGCCTCATAAATTCGACGTAAACACAGTAAAAGAGACAATAGCGATAATTAATAATATCATATATGAACGTTTTTTGTACATATTGGACAGGTAAGGGTATGTACCCTTTGTACATAATGAGAGCCACGCGAGGTACGCCTTTCGTATATTAATAGCAACACTGACCATTCAATAATCCGGCCCAATTTCTCGTTTTCCAAATAAGCGGTTTCATTTTTCCAAGAACTTGGCACTAAAGGGCACAATAAACGAAGTCAAAATTCCCCGAGGTTTTTATCCGTTTCCAGGAAAAGCGGTGAAATTCGTCAATTATGCACACCCTGGTACCCCTTCGCTCGACGTCCTGTTGACTGTCCTCATTGTTCTTCCGCGTCCCGTTTCCCGGTCATCGTCATAAATATACACGTAAACATTCGTCCGGATGAAGAGCAAAAGTGGCAATAAATAACGCGATTAGCTTACTAAAGTTCTACATTTCTTAACCGGGCTGCCGGCCTCAGGTCAACCACGTATAGTACCCGAACCTGGCCGGGCCACGCTCCATATTCAATCGGTAACTGCCACCCACCCCGACACCTCCTAATATTTTTCCCGCATTGTTCCGCAAGCCCTTCCACGCCGAATCGGCCCGTAAGGTTATTATTGAGAACGCGTCGAAATAATTGCAAGGGACTGTGCGTTGTTCTATGCGTTGCTCGCAACTGTCCTTTATTGTCGCCCGTAATCCTTCTTTTCAGCACCGTGCGCCTTTCATAACTCTGTTATTGGAAACACGTTGAATCTATTATTCCAATTAGTTATTCACTTTGTTTATTCCTACGGGCTTAATTTAACTCCACGTTCAATTCAATGCTTTAAAATTTTATTGGCGGTGTTCTGGAAGATTAATCCAATTACTGTTATGACCACTTTTTGAAACTAGGCAACGCTAAAAATTTTTGGGAATGTTTCTAGTCTCGAGAAGTACGTGGAAAAAGTTTTTTCCGTGCAACGGTAAAAGGGTTAAATCTTAGAAAATGCAGAAACAGTTAGAAGTCCATGTGTCCTTGTTTCCCCCATTTTTTCCTCTACAGTCAGTGTAGCGTAACTGTAAAAGCATCGTAAACGGTTCCGTTCGTCGGAAAAGAAGATTAGAGAGAAAGGGTTGAAGGGGATTTTTTGATGCAGCCTTTATGGTGGCTTCCAGATTTTTTCCTCCCCCGCCCAACGTTCGAAAGGGTTAAAGGACGATTTATAGTGTCCCCTGTACCTGTTGAAAGGACTTCGGACCTTCCAGGACACGCTTTGCATGTTCTTACACCGAGAATCTGTTAGTCATCAAATTTTAAGCGTTTCTTGTTCCTCCTCCCGTTTTCTTTTCCCCCTTGGCTTACTAAAATAGTAAGAAAACCTTGGAAGTTTCTCCTTCATTTTCCGTCATTTCGAACTTAATGGTTTTGCTGGATGTTTTTCAGGGATGAAAGGGTGCGATCTGTCGGCGGAGAGAAAGCAGACTTTCGGTGGAAAAAGGGTGCGCGATCGCTCCAATTACTTTTACTATTTTAGTACTTTTAAATTTAGTTTTAACGGGGAATAGTTTATGGAATAATTAATTATGAAGGTTTTTGACGGTACAAATTTTTGCGATGGACAACAAACTCCCTGTAAACTGGCAGTGAGAGACTCCTGTATCGAAAAGCTTAAATTACAGAAAATAAATTACAATACCGACTCTGTTGTTACAATACAGACACTTTTTCTTCACATCTAATTTTGCAAAATTTACTAATTAATTTATACCGACGATTAGCTCTTAAATACATAATGTTGCGGTATAGTTATATTTTTACTACTGTTTTAAAATATATCATGAGCGAGAGAAGTGCAACATATTTATATTTTTAGTATATCCGAGAGATATCTGTTCTGAATTGTACCAACTAATAAAATATGAAATGTATTGAAAAGGTATTAAAATGAGGTCTCCTTATTTTTACAAAAAAATTTAAGGGTTAACTCTGCGATACATGCCTTTGAAATTGCGTAAAATTGAATTATTAAATAAATTAAACAGTTTAAACTGTATGTGACTTAACTTCTTGAGGAGGGATGATCCCACCACGCACAGAGAGGCGGGACAAGTTTCACTCCCCAAAAGAGTTAAACGAGATCTTAACTCCGAAGACTTCGAATTTCGATCGCGATCTTAATATTTAAAGCGTAACTATAATTTGCGAAAGGGAATGATGTCCGCAAGGGTGGGGTAATTCAAAAACGTTCTATGAATCCCGAGGACACGGCCTTCGCTGTGATTGGACAAAGCAAGTTGGCCGAAAGGGAGAGGGTAACTGCCCCTCGACTCGATCCACAAATAAAGCTGGTATTTCACTTTGGGTCCTAGGACGTTGTCAGTCGACCTCGGGCATTCATTCGCTTCTGAAGTCCGGGTCAAAGAACAAGGGACAATTTCGCCTGTTTCCTTTAATCGTAACGAGCTGTCGGTCAGAATTTGCGCGATCGCGAGTTACTTGACTTGTGTTTTTTTTTTGTGGACTGTGGATCATCCTGTTTATGTGTGTGCACTCTGTTCGGAACCAACCGGAAGGAAGTTTGCGAAACTGGAGGAAGCAGGACATCCCCGTCTCGAGGTTTGTACTGTCTGTAAATACGGAGTGAACTTGACATTCATAACAAATTGACAGATTGTAGAATGAGTTTTATCGATTTTTGATAAGCGTAATCTTTGGTTCGGTCAACTTTTGGAAAATCTAATTTGTGGAGTTTTTTGAATTTAGATAACGGTGTTATTTAAAAAAGTTAGATACAAGATTATTCTTTCTTTTGTAAGTTACGTTGTCAGATAAATTGTGTTTAATTGTCGTGGTTCAATGATGTTTATATTATATAGGAAAATTTAATTGATTAGTAGTTTTAATTTAATTTTATTAGCTTGATAAGAGGACGAAATTTAATAGCAAAGATATTGGTAGAATAACACTTATATATACAATGTTATACAATTTAAATGAAAATAGAATTTGTTATGAATGTAAAATAGAATTTATTATGGAAGTTAAATAGAATTTCTCATGAAGCCTTAACAGTAGAATAAGCAGTTTTATTTCTTTAAATAATTAGTGAAGAATGTAAAGTAAATTAGTATACTCATTTCTTATTTGCATAAATTTGACACAAGTTTTGATAAAAGTATCTCAGAATTTTGAATATCAAATGAATTACCGGCGGTCCAACAAATTAGACAAATTTCTAAAATAAATCATACAAAAATATTGAAAACTATTTCTAATATTTCTATAATTATCTTTGTGACAGTTAAACAAACTTGACCAACAAAATACTTAAATTTATTTAAATAAATTCTACTGTAAATCGATCAAATTGATAAGAGTCGAAGATCGAGAACATTGCCGATCGATGATCAATCTTTTTCTCTTTTTTTTTACGAATTTCTCTGTGTTTTCACAATTTCGATCATGTGTTTTTTTCGCGTTCTTCCTTTGTTTATTTATTGTGAATCATAAAAATTATTAACCGTTGGACTTTTGAGTTTTTATCGAGGAGCAACATCGTTCAAGAATTTATCGACTTTTCTATCGAGGTATATTACTCGAAACTCGATCGTAGTTTAGTTTTCTGTCCGCGTGTTTCAAAAAGTGTCGATTGACATCGCTCGCGAATCTGCAAAGAAACAAACATGGAAATTTAATATGGCGGCTGCGAGAATATTTTGATGAAAATATACACACTTTTTATTTTTATTTATTATTAAATATTTGACTATTCATCTCGATTTGCTGACAATTTTATATTTCTTCGTTTAAGGGTTAATTATTTAATCATTAATATTTTTCACAAATTGTAATTTTAGCTTATTTAGTTTTCACAGAATTCCAAATATTTGTTCTCCAATTTTATAAATGAATTTTTCCATTTGATCTAATCTTTGCCTCCACATTTTCTCTAAAGTTTTGAGGGTACAATCGATACTTTTTATTCTGTAATTAACGTATGAACAGCTAACGTGTAAAATTAATCTCGGGATAATGTTTCTCAATTTTTTGATTTGCCGGTTTTCTATCGTTCTCTTTCCTCCCTTGAGAAGCTAGATTCCCCGGGACAAATTCTCGATATACACGTTTCCTCTACCGTAAGGTTTTCATTATTTACTGTTGTGATTGTGGCTTTGGAATTTCGAAAGACTGGGGCTTCCTTCGACCTTTGCCAAAGTCTTTTTTCTCCTTGCTCGAACGAGCACGGAGTTTCGCTTTAATCGACTCGTAAACGTCCTTACTATGGAATGCGAGCGTTTGTACGTTTACCAAAAGAATTCTTCTACAAATCCTTCTTAGAATATTTCAAACTTTCAAATATTATTGTCTCTACGAGAAAATAAATTGAAAATAGTTGCGCAATTACGGTCACGGAAAATAACAATTTAGATCTGGCAGAAGGGTGCAAAGAAATCCTTTGAACAACTTCTCAAAAACGTCATAAAAGAGGTAAATTCAAGACGGTTAGCGAAGCAAATTTGCATACAGCGTAATTACAGCCTTAGGGATAATAGTTTCCAGGAGGAAGACGCTGTCCGTTGTTACAAGGGTTGTTTCCATCCGATTCCGTAGCAGGACCGTCGCAAAGAGGAAAAACTGTCGTTGAAATTTTATTTATGACCAGCACCGTGTTCGTTCACCGGCTACGCGAACAATGAGATTATTTCTCAGAAGTCAAAAGCGGGATCTCCCAAAACCCGGTTTGTCAGCGGGACATCAAAACCGTGCTCTACTTGAATAAACGAGTAGACCTTAACCCTTGGTACCATTCCTCAAACCAGCAATTAGAACAATAAATTTTCCTGCATTCTCTCGGTGGATCCTAATTTCAAATCAGCCCTACACAAATTTTTATTGTTTAATTACCGTTGCTCGGGACACTCTATTGTTCATCATTTTAGAAATAATTTCAACGTTACACAAATTCTTTCGATACAAATTTCAAGAATTAAAAAACTGCAATCGATATCGATCTTTCAGGAGTTTTAAATAGAATCTCGAGTGATATCTTTGAAATATATCGTTGAACGTCTCCAGAAAAAATTCAAAGTAAAGACAAAATGTGCCAAATCGATTGTTTTCGCGCAGCAAACGGTGATTGGCGGTTTGATATAAATATTGACGATAACGAAGGACACCCGAGACCTTTTCGATCGAAACAATTACGTAGATAGTTCGTTCTGAGCTTCGAATAAATTAGTAGGGCCATTTTGTGTGTACACTTTGAGCGAGCAGTATGACGGTAGAGAAATTTTGTGGAACCATTTTGGCCGGGATTTGCTTTTAGAATAGTTCGCAGGTTATATTTGTCGCGGCCGAACCCTTGTTCGTGGAAATTCGTATTACCAGTGAATACTTAACCCTTTTTGACCTCGCATTGTTAGATTCAAACTTTCCACCTGTTTCCCGGGAAAATTTTCAACCATTCGTGAAGTTTTACGTCTGCTACGAAATGTTTTCATACATTGAGTTAATTTTTGAATTAACTATTTTAATTAATTATGACATGTAAGATGGAGTTAGATTAAGGAGATTAAGGGTGTTTTATTCATTGTTGATTTTTTGTAGAGTGCCAAGATGAGAGGCAACTGGGATACGGCGGAACCTTTGGTACACGCGCCGAATCAGCAACGGCAGCAGCGACAAACTGTCGTTGAAGAGCAGAGGCATCCCCTCCATTCACCAACCACGCCCGCTTGGGGTATCACCGATAGAATCGTGGTGAGTAATCGTTCCAACCCCTCCACGATCTTCTCTTATTCTCCCCCTCTCTCGCTCTTTTAACTTATTCACCCTCTCGTCTTCACCCTACCCTCTCCCTTCCTTGTTTTTTTCATCCCCCAACACCCTTCTTTATTTCTTTCACTGTTTCATCCCTTCCCGATACACAACATGTCGTCTCAATGGAGACTCTTCCACACATGCCAAAAAGAAACTCTTCTTCGTGATTACGATGAAGGAGATGATGAAAATTATTTAAGGAGATGATGAAGATTATTTAAGGAGATGATGAAGATTATTTAAGGAGATGATAAAGTACAAAATGATATTAACGCAAACATTTTATTCACAGAAGGAGGAACCGTCGGAGGATAAAAACAACGACTCAGGAGTATCCCCTGATTATTACACCAGCAACTCTGCGTCGCCCAGAAGCAGGAGATCTTCTTCAACGGCAAACTGTAGTTTGTCGCCAGGAAGTGCGACCTCGCAGGATTCGAACACAATGCACTGCGGCGCGTTCGACTACAGTCCGCAAAGCATGTTCAAGAATTGCGACTCGCCGGTCGATTACAACAGGAATCCATCGATGGACGATCATCAGGCGGAGAGGGCGATGGACGTCGCTTCCAGCACGACGAAACCGCCCAACGGAGATGTCGAGTACGGTCCAGATTCTTTCCAGTGTCCCATTTGCGCTTACACTTCGTTGAACAGGTAGGCTTTGTTTTCACGGCTCGAAATAATGTGATTAGGTTAGAGTAGGTGGGAGGATTTCGGCACTCTGAGGATATTTATCTGATAACTTAGTTTCTTGTTCTCTAATACAATCTGTTATTACCAAGCTAGATTATCTAATCTATTAATTTTATGTATTTAATTTATGAACCCCTTCCTGTACTTTGACGAGTCTCACTCGTGACGCACTTACAGCTCAAATGTGACAAACCATACTCAAACTTTGAACATTCTCCAATTTGAAATTTAGATCCAACTATAAGTTGCATTATGAAGGATGCCTGAATATAAAATACAACATTTTAATTTTCTTTGTTCATTTTAATGTTATTTGACTGACGCATCTGTTAAATAAATGGCACGAGAAGGGGTTAATACATTTTCAAACATAACAATAATTAGTAATCCTACTCCATCGCGCTATCTTATCACTAATAATACTAACACATCCTTCCACTTTCTCTAGCAATGTACTGAATCGTATTGTACCCTAGGTTAAAGTTCTCGGAACACCTAACGACGCATTGCGGCTCACAATGCGACACGGCAGAATTCGTAAAAACGGTTCTCAATCAGTTGACGCCAGGTGCCCCGCAGGACGAGAACAGGTCCACGCCACCTCAGGGCGAACGATCCGAGCAACTAGAAGAGCTGGAAGAAGCCGACGAGCCAGGGCTTCGAGTTCCCCGAGTGAATTCTCAGGGCAAAGTGAAGACCTTCAGATGCAAGCAGTGTAATTTCGTGGCTATCACCAAACTGGAGTTCTGGGAACACAGTCGCGGCCATATCAAAGCGGAGAAATTATTGACCTGTCCAAAGTGTCCTTTCGTGACGGAGTACAAACATCACCTGGAGTACCATTTGAGGAACCACTTCGGCTCGAAACCGTTCAAGTGCGACAAGTGTTCGTACTCGTGTGTGAATAAATCGATGTTGAACAGCCACTTGAAATCGCATTCGAACGTCTATCAGTACAGATGCGCTAACTGCTCCTACGCCACCAAGTACTGCCATTCACTGAAGCTGCATTTGCGCAAATACTCCCATCAGCCTGCGATGGTGTTGAACGCCGACGGTTCACCGAACCCGTTGCCCATCATAGACGTGTACGGAACTCGGCGAGGTCCGAAGCAGAAGTCTGTCAAACCCATCCAGGAGGACACCAACCAAAACAGCAACATCGTCGTCTCGAACAATAACTCGCAGATTTCACTGCCGTCTCCTCACATGGTAGTCGCCTCGCAGATCTCTCCAGTCAATTATTGCTTGCCGATCAACTCGATGAATGGCTTGAACGGTGCGAACGGCTTGAACGGGGTAGTGTCCAACCGCTCGGTGATGGCTTTCCCGTACAACCAGATATTCCCCGCATATCCGATGGCCCACGTGCCCACGTTCGACGAGAACAACGTCGAGAAACACCTGGACAGAATCCGAGCGAACGTGTTGGTGGACTTCACGAAGATCGACGTCGACAGCGCTATGCCCGAGGAGGTACCGCAGGATCTGGACTCCAAGTGTTTCGAGTCGATCAAAGCATGCGACGAGTCGAACAAGCCGGCCAACGACATCTCCAAGAACGACGCTTCAATGACTGTGATGGAGGTCCAGGACGAGGTGACGGATCTGAAAGTTACGCCACTGGATCTCAGCAAACCCACCACTCCTAACAATGTTCAGAGCAAACCGATGACGAAATTGACTGGCACCAGCCGACGCAAGGGAAGAGCCGTCAAGTTGGAGCGCCGAGTGATCGAAGAAGATACTGATGATGAACAGCAACCGGAGCCCGAAGAGTTGTACGAGACTACGGTCCTCGCCAGTCCTGGCTCACGGGATGAAAAGGACAATGGCGGACGAAACAGCAGTCTCGGTAGCGAGTTCACTTGTCAGTACTGCGAGATCTCCTTCGGCAACGTGGTGATGTACACCGTGCACATGGGGTACCATGGCTACAAGGATCCCTACACCTGCAACATGTGCGGCCACCAGTGCACCGATAAGGTGTCCTTCTTCTTGCACATCGCCAGGTCAAAACACTCATAGAGACTCAGGTTGAACTCAGGTAAATTGAAGTGGATTATAACGTACCTTGACAGTGTGTGAATATTTTTAAGGTAGTGCTGGAGAACATGATGGTTGTCGCATGGATGACAACTGGGCTTCTCCTTTTCCTAAGTATGTACTTTAATCTCCTGTAAAAATTATTAGTACATAAGCATATATACATAAATATATATAAACATATATATTATATTTTGATAGATATTTAGGTAACGTGTGATATGTGATTTACCGAGGATCTCGATCGAGCGTACAAATATTGTGATTTCGCTGAGGCAGCTTTACTGGGACCGAAGAGTAATTTTCGAGCTGAGTGAAATCATTCGCTATGTTGAATATTTTTACACTTTTATAACATTTTGCTATATATACGTACATATATAGATATATTATAAATGAACACGGAGAATGGTATTTTACTCAGCTCCGAACTTATTTTTAGGTCCCGGTATCTTTTCGGTCGAGATTCGATTAAGTTAGTTAATACTTAAGCTAGATGTAAGTAAAACACGTCAATTAAGAAACTCATATTGATAGTTAAGTAAGAATGAGACGAAGATTCGGTGGAGAAGATGAGGGGATCGAAGTAGAACTTGTGATGAGAATTTTCTCGATTCTAGTCAAGAAAAAGTACCGAGGCGGGCGCTTTGAGTGTCGCTGGTGCTCGGTGTGCAATTCAAAATTTAAAGATAATTGAAGCTTGGTTATTGTGTCTGAAAGCACTGATATCCCGATAAGTATTTCCATAGTGTTTCCACAAGTTCTCGAGGATCATGTTTTCCTTCGTTCGCGTTCGGAAATTGTCGACTTTTAAAAATTTCGAGAGGCCTTAACTTCAACGCGTTCTTAATCTATCATTTTGCAATTTGACTATGTTCTTAATATTTTTTTTTTTGGTTTTTCGTTTCTTCCCTTTTTATGTTCATTTACTGTACAATTTTACAAAGTACTCGAGACTATTTCTGTTTTTATACGTTCACGTTTACTTTTTCTTTTTTTTTTTGAGAACGAGGTGACGAGAAGTTTGGCCTGTTAAGTCGATTTCTTGCAAATTATTTTTTTATTTCTTTTAATTCGAACAATGACAATGTTTATTAACACGTTTTGTTTGGGGTTGAAATTTGAAATTTTACGAGTTTGAAATTTCAAACAACGTGTTAATAGAATATTAACCCTATCAGTTAAAAAATTTATTGCATTTACTTTCGCCTTCAAAATTGTGACCGAAAAAGCAGTATCAGTATTTTTAGGGTCAATATTTAGAATTTTGTTCAATTTTATTTTAAAATCCTTTAACATTGACTTATTTAGTACGTTTTCAGTTTCTCCGAGTTTTAGCGAGAAAATTTTTTTTTATCGAACGAAGGAAAACGCTCATTTTTCAATTTTCATGAAAAGCAGAAGGACTCGTCCATATTTTTTTAACACGAGAAAAAGAGAATTGAGAGAGTTGATTACGAAGGATCACAGTTTATTTTCGTTGAAAATGTCCGATCAATGATGCACGAAACAAGTATGAGACGTTTCTTATGGCGATGTTTTTCTCACGGCTCGTGAAATGATAATAAATCCACGTTTATAGCGGGGAAAAAATCAATATAAGACTGATGATGAAAAGTCTGAGGAGTTTCGTTTGTTCACTGAATTGGGCTAGTAACTGGTTTCGCAATATGATACTTTATTTTACTTCTCTTTTCGATTATTCTCTTTTTTCCTTTCATTTGATAGATCTTTCGGTTCTCGTAAGAAAGAACGTTCATTTTCTTTTTCCAGTTGTTTACAAATGTAGTATTGCGAACATGTACTCGATGTGAACAGAACGATGTGAAAAAAAAATATGACCTTACGTTTGACTTTCGACTATTATGGCGAACCGACCAAGAAACCTTGTTCCTATTAACTATAGCATAGTTTACTTTAAGTACTGTAATATTCCGACATTCCTCCTTTGCAAATGTAATCAAAAAATACATAAGTATTTATGTAATCTGTATTCATTAATTATCCTATACTTCCATTTTCCATGGAACTAGAAATAAGAATTTTTTAAATAATATTTCGATTGACGATCGTGTGTTATAACTTCGTATACGATGCAATCTTCATGCAATGTTAAGAAAGAGACTAAAAGGTAATATAATCGTAATATATTCGTTTGAAGAACAAATAAAATGTATTCAGACGAAGAGAAAACCGCGTGGACGCCAGACATAGTTGGTCCAATATACAAATCCGATAATATTACGTTGAGAGAGGTTAGCAATCTGTAATTTATCGCGTTTCCTTTCATAACAGTTAACCAAAATGTGTAGGTATTAATTTCCCATCGGGACGACAAGTGCACTCGAGTGATGGCTACCTTTGTCCCCGATGAACTCATATACGAACCTGACTTGACTAAAAAGAATTTTCGTAAATTCAATTCTGTCATTGCACTGATCGACGTTACTCGGCTCTTCGGCGTATACGAGAAGTACATCATGGCGAGCTATGGTGGCAGTATGGCTTTGTTTCAGTTACTCAATCGTTATATATCTATTATAATCATTGAAGTCTACTCTACTCATGGGGATGTGATCAAATTCTCTCGTAAGCGTATTTTTATTAAATAGTTGCATAAGTCAAACATATATTAATCAAATACACATATGAGACACATACATGAAATATACATATGAGATACATACATCAAATACACAAATGAGACAGAAATTAAACAGACACATAAATCAAACATATAAATATAAAAATATAAAATTCAGACACATACAACGAATACACACATCAGACATAAATTTAATAGACACATAAATCAAATATATTAATATACAAATATAAAAATCAGACACATATATCAAATACAAAAATCAGATATAAATTAAACAGACACATAAATCAAATATATTCATATACAAATAGAAAAGTCAAACACATATATCAAATACATAAATGAGACATAAATTAAACAGACACATAAATCAAATATATTCATATATAAATATAAAAGTCAGACACATATAACAAATACATAAATCATACATAAACTAAACAGACACATAAATCAAATATATTAATATACAAATATAAAAGTCAGACACATATATCAAATACACAAATGAGACAGAAATTAAACAGACACATAAATCAAATATATTCATATACAAATAGAAAAGTCAGACACATATATCAAATACACTAATGAGACATAAATTAAACAGTTACATAAATCAAATATACAATCATATAAACGAATAAATCAGACACATAAATCAAATGCACAATAAAATTACATATGCCAGATTTATTTAAACATCAAAACCTTAAAAAAGAAAATTTTAATAATCATAGAGGATGGATTACTGGTAATATGGAAAGTGAACAGGAACGAATACGTGTCAAGAATGGTGTACAACGTAATATTATGCGGGCAGAGGATTCAGGAGACCGTTACAGGGTTAGAGGACAAAGCGCTCGTTCCAAAGGGTAGGACAAATATCAAACGCGTACAATCAAATAGTAAATAATTAATTGTGAATGGCAGTGGATATCGCAGTCGCGTGTGGAGAGGTGACATTCTCTGTAATTGGTAACGAATCTGCTAGACACTACGTGGTCGGAGGTTCTCCGATCGAAGCGCTCCAATATGCCAGAAAAATTTGTTTACCAGGAGACTTAGTGTTGTCCTCCAGTGCTTGGGAATTTTGCGCTCCTTCTCAATACGAGTATGTTATCAAGGATTCGAGCAATGTCAAGGTACAGTAGGATGTTAGTATGTTAAGGTACAGTAGGGTGTTAGTATGTCAAAGTACGGTACTCTCGTTATATGGCCGGAGTTCGTTTTTCGTACCGAAATCTTTTTGACAGATCATCAAAGTGCTTGGACCGCCTGTGGAAGTTCCAGAGAAGCACGTAGTGATTATAGATGAGCAGCAGGAACCTTCCATCACGACCGAGCGATTGTCAGATGTCATCTCGATTTCAGAATCGTCTTCACACTCTAACGTGGAAGGGTTACAATACCGGGGTGACTAAATAATCACCGACGTTCTGTTTACGTGCGATCGTCGTATTTAGGTTTTAATCTGATTTTAGATTTTTAGATTTTAATGTATATTTAGCGAGAATTTCTGTGATCGACGCGTATCGACGACGTCTCGGCTCGTTCTTGAGGACTTACATGCTGAAACCGGTGTTGACGGAGGTACGAATTTTCCAAACATCAACGTAAACAGAATTGTTGAGAGTTTTGCTTGTAGGTCGACAGCGGAGAGTCTTTGGAATATTTGACGGAAACCAGGAAAATTACTGCGGTCGCTGTTAATATCGTTCCATCTAAGAGTTCCATTTATGAATTGATATCACTGGTCGACGAACTGTTTAAGATCATTATGAGGTATTTTTGATATATATTTCAAACCTTGCGCAATTTCAATTTGTCAGATAACCAGACTTTAACACTAAAACTACCAAACCGGTCAAATGACCGCTTCACAAGTTTCTTATTACAAGATATATATTTTACAAGTACATTCCTTGAAATCAGCATTGATTTACATCAAAGTAAAGAATAAATGTGTGTACTAATTTATGTTTCGTCGTTTGTTTATTTATGTTTTAACTTCATTTTTAATTTCAAATTATATGTCGGTAGGTTTAGTGTTGAAGATTAAGATAACTATTTCATTTGATAGGAACGAGTTTTTATTTTGTTGCAGCGTGATTGAACAATATTTTGGTTGCATCGCTACTGTAAATTTTTACGATAGGGATATACTGTTTAATTTGATGTACGGCGTGAGGGAGTACAGTACCTGGGCGGAAAACGAACCAAACGCGGAGTACGCGTTGCATTCTGCTTTGCAGATAATGAACAACGCGAAATGTGTTCCTGGTGTTAAGGCTATTTCGATCGGCGTGTCGACTGGTATATTCTCTGGTTACTTTATTTAATGCAGATTAACCTTTTGGACTCCTATGTCGAGTGTGGCTCGACGTCACTTTTCTCTTGGATCTCATAAATAATTCGGATAAATAGATTGGTTCAATATATATATTTTCATTAATTTACTACTTATAATAAATGAAAAATGTATTTGTCACATACTCGAACTGTTACAATACACTTGATGGAGGAACCCTTTCTTGATCTATTTTGTAAATAAAAAAGTTGCTAGGTAAAAGAAATTAAGGAGTGTAAAGAGTTAAAACTTGGTTATTTTTGATAGGAATGGCATTTTGTGGCGTGGTTGGTCACATCGTCAGGAGACAGTACATGATTTTTGGTACACCGATTGACAAAGCTATTTCTTTGATGAAGATTTCGTACGGTAAGGTTTGTATTGCTTTTATAAAGCGGTTTGATGCAGTAAAATTTCATATTAAATTACTTAATTTCATATTATTTCAGCTAGTATTATTTAGTATTTTTAGTACTATTGTTTGTATTGCTCATTTATGTAATTTTATGCAGTAAGATTTCATATTAAATTACTACTACTTTAACTACGATTATGTAGTATTTTTACTACTATTGTTTATATTGCTCATTTATGCAATTTCATGCAGTAAGATTTCATATTAAATTACTACTACTTCAACTACTATGATTTAGTATTTTTACTACTATTGTTTGTATTGCTTTTATACACTTTAAGCCAATCGGATTTCAAATTGTATTATTATTATCTCGACTGCTATTATTTATTATTTTTCTACTATTATTAACAGAAATATTTAATACAAATCTTTCTTCTAAATTTTTAATATATCTTTTAAAATTGTTCAACTACGATTTTGTCACATTCTTTGTTACATTCTTTGTCACATTCGTTGTCACATTCGTTGTCACATTCGTTGTCACATTCTTTATTACATTCTTTGTCACATTCGTTGTCACATTCTTTATTACATTCTTTGTCACATTCGTTGTCACATTCTTTATTACATTCTTCGTCACATTCTTTGTCACATTCTTTGTCACATTTTCAAACTATCACAAGAATATCCGACTTTCATTATATCTGCAGAATTTGAATTTACCATTTTAGATATCTTGCGACTACGAAGCCTACGCAGACAGTTCTTTAAGCAAAAACAACTTCCGTTCGCGTGGGATGAAAACATTATCCAGATTCGGAAGGTGCTTCGTCTACGAATACATTGAAGCATACACGTAATATATTACGTACCTTTCTTTCCAACAATGCTGAATTGTCCTATTAAAGAATTGTCCTGATTGTTGTATTTAGAAAAGACGAATCCAGATCGAACCTTGAGTATTGTTACCCGATTCTTGATCGATTCCAAGAAATCGAGTACTTCAAGGATATTATGGATGATATTGGTGTGGAAGGACGAAGCTACTCTGGAATGCTTATCGAGGTTTGGCTTGTATTATCAAAAATTAATTATTGATTTAATTAATATGTGTATAATGATCTTAGGGTGCTGAGAGGTCCGGTAAATCGAGATTGCTTGATGCATTCGTTACTATTGTTCGGAATAGGCAAATTCAGGTTATTGCGCTACATTTGCATCGTTCTTATACTGAGAAAGCGTATGCAGTGCTGCACCATGTGTTTCTGCAAGTGAGGATAATGTATATTCTTTAATTTTTGAGGATGAAACCAGAATAGAGATAGCAGAAAATATTGGCAGAAAATATTGGCAGAAAGTATTAGCAGAAAATATTGGCAGAAAATATTAGCAGAAAATATTGGCAGAAAATATTAACAGAAAATATTAACAGAAAATATTAGCAGAAAATATTGGCAAAAAATATTAGCAGCAAATATTAACAAACAATATTAGCGGAAAATATGAAATGATTTTTCTTGTAAAAAATAATAAGAATACTAAGAACTACTTCAATAAAGTTAAAATTTATTCTTCAGTTTCGAGTATATAAAATCATAAAAGTATTATAAAAGCATATTATATAAAAGTATATAATAAAATTGTATGTTCATTTAGTTGTTCGATGCATCAGAATGTACGACGATCTACGACCGCGAGAAGGCTATAGGAAACAAATTGTCCGACATTTTGAAGCCGGAGGATTTCTGTTACTTAAACTGCATCATGCGCGTTCAGTTTCCTCTTTCCAAAAGTTACTGCGAGGAAACGGACTGGAAACGTCACACCAAAACCATTGAAATTTTTGAGAAAGTGTTGCAGAAGGTTAGTTATCATTTATTCTTACCAATTACAATTAAATCTATTCTCAACCCCTTGCCGTACAATTTATTTGTCAGATGCGTCAGTCAAAACTAACTATTCATAGATATAATACTTAAATAAACAATAAAAATTAAAATGTTGTGAATATTTTATAATCAGCGATCTTTGATAATGAAAATTATAGTTGGACCTAAATTTTAAGTTGAAGAGTATTAAGAATTTTAGTAAGATTTGTTATATTTGAGCTGTGAGTGCGTTACGAGTGAGACTCGTCAAAGTACGACAAGGGGTTAATTATTCATAGATTACTTTTAGCGAGTACAATTCATCGTTCATTCTTAAAGAGTACAATGTATGGTTCATTCTTAGCTAGTATAATTATCGTCCATTCTTAGCTACTATAATTATTGTTCACTCTTAGCTACTATAATTATCGTCCATTCTTAGCTACTATAATTATTGTTCACTCTTAGCTACTATAATTATCGTTCATTCTTATCTACTATTTATCCTTTCATTTCATTTGAATTATTATTCAGATCAGCGGCCGAGTATGCATTCTCCTGGACGACGTGCAACACATGGATCTCTTATCCTGGCAGTTTTTCGCGGTCACTCTAAACAATATAAACGTGGTCCTAGTAATGACATTACAAGAACCACTGTCCTGGGATGATCTGACTCAAGTTGAAGCTGCCATTTGCCAAGATAAGAGACTGATGAACAGAACCCTACTCGGTATAGATTCTAAGTACGTCGCAGCGTTTGCTTGCCAGTTCTTGAACGTCAGTGCGGTTCCGAAGAGTCTCGAGAGGTAAAAAGACTTTCATATTCGCTACTATTATTTTTCTCATTACATTGCTGTTGCGGAGAGGGAGAAATTAGGGATTCAGACGAGTGTAGTATAGTAGAGTAAATTTGAAGATTCAGAGGGTATCGTAGGGTAAATTTCAAGATTCTGAGGGTTTCAGTGTTGTAGGGTAAATTTCAAGATTTAAGGGGTTCTAAGATTGCAGGATAAATCTGAGGATGCAAGGAGCCCTAATACTACAGAATTTTGAGAATTCAAGGGATTTCAATATCGTAGGGTAAATTTCAAGATTCAAGAGGTTTTAATTTAGCAGGATGAATTAAAAGATTTAAGGAGTTCTCCTACCACGGAGTTTTGAGTATTTATATTGTTACATTATTCAGCGAGTGAGACGAAAGCGAGCCAAGCTCTTATACTTGACTTTGCAACTTCTTTGTCCGCGTTTTTCTTTTGCACCACTCAACCAATTCTCATCAAATTTTGCACGCACATGCGTATGTACATCCAGATGGACATAGAAAAAAAAAATTTAAATCAGACTTGCCACGAAGGAATAATCACCGAAAAAATTTTGAATAATTAATTACACGTTTTGTGGATATATTTTGAGCACTTTTATGATTGAAGAATGGTCAGCAATGCATTATTTACATGGTTCGATCATAAAAGTTCATAAATAATGTTCAGATAGCGAGTAATTAATTATTTTGTGTCAGCATTCCGATACGTACATGAGCCACCTGTGTCAATTCTACTGTGCATGCAAAGTGCAATATTTCGGCACTTTGGCGACGTAGTATGGTTCCTGAGGCATTTAGAAACAAATTTCTATTAGGGTTTGATGCGTTTTGATGCCTAATAAAGCCAGAAAATCGATTTTTGTCGAATTCGGTTCAAAACGGTACAGGTGGCGCCATCTAGCGGCGAGCGGCGGAGAGCGACGGAACTACGAAAAACTAAAATTTCTATTTTCTCCGAAATTAGGCAACTTTACGTATTTCTGAGGGTCAGAAATTGTTTTGTGACCTGTCTAGAACCTATATAAAGCCACAAGAACCTCCTCAGAGCGCTAGAAAAGAAAATAAAAAAATAGGTCAAAACATGGACTAAAAAATTGGCGTCCATCTAGCGGTGAAAGTTGGAACTACAAAAATATAAAATAGCGATTTTCTCGAAAATTAGCGAGCTTTGAGTACTTCTGAGGCTAAGAAAGTATTATGTGATCGCATTAGAAGCAAAATAATGCAATAAAATCTTTCCAAAGGCTTTAATAAAGAAAATAAAAAAAATGTCATTTTATGGAGAAAATTTGTGGCGCCATCTAGCGGCGGAACCGCGAACTAAAATGAAAAAACGTATGTCCGAACACGCGTTAAGGAAAAATATAAAAAGTAATATTTCGCAACTTTGACGGCGTAGTATGCTTCTTTAGACATTTTAAAGCAATTTTTGTTGACTTTTATTGCTTTATTATGCTTCTAATGCGATCACACAACATTTTCTGAGCCTTAGAAGTACTCAAAGTTCGCTAATTTTCAAGAAAATCGCATTTTTATATTTTTGTAGTTCCAACTTTCACCGCTAGATGGACGCCAATTTTTTAGTCCATGTTTTGACCTATTTTTCTATTTTCTTTAATAATAGTCCTAGCGGGCTATAATTACCTGAGGAGGTTCTTGTGGCTTTATATAGGTTCTAGTGAGGTCACAGAACAATTTCTCACCCTCAGAAATACGTACAATTGCCTAATTTCGGAGAAAATCGAAATTTTAGTTTCTCGTAGTTCCGCCGCTCGCCGCTAGATGGCGCCACCTGTGCCGTTTTCGACCGAACACACTCACCGCTAGATGGCGCCACCTGTACCGTTTTGAACCGAATTCGACAAAAATTGATTTTCTGGCTTTATTAGGCATCAAAACGCCTCAAACCCTAATAGAATTCGATTTTCTGGTTTTATTAGGCATCAAAACGCATCAAACCCTAATAGAAATTTGTTTCTAAATGCCTCAGGAACCATACTACGTCGCGAAAGTGCCGAAATATTTCACTTTGCATGCGCAGTAGAATTGACACTGGTGGCTCATGTACGTATCGGAATGCTGGCACAAAATAATTAATTACTCGCTATCCGAACATTATTTATGAACTTTTATGATCGAACCATGTAAATAATGCATTGCTGACCATTCTTCAATCATAAAAGTGCTCAAAATATATCCACAAAACGTGTAATTAATTATTCAAAATTTTTTCGGTGATTATTCCTTCGTGGCAAGTCTGATTTCAAAATGACCTCGTATATACCGTTTGTCACCATGGCTGTCCTTCGGTTATTAGTTAATAACTAATTAGTTTCATTAAAAATCTGAACAAATATGATACGAGAACGTAGCTGAGGGATCACTGAACATTCTTTTATAATAAAAGTGCATAAATTGTGTTTAGAAAATGTGTTATTAATTATTTCAAGTTAGCTCATGCGTACGATGTATTCAGCGGACTTCGTGTTGGCTATTAATTAATAACTAATTATTTACAATAAAAATGTGAACATATGTGATATGAGAAAGTAGCTAGGGAATCACTGAACATTCTTTAATCATAAAAGTTCATAGACTGTGCTTAGAAAGCGAGTAATTAATTAACGAGTTTGCATACTGAATTTGCTTGCGCTTATGTACTTGACTTTTCAACTTTTTTGTCCACGTTTTTCTCTTGCACCACTCAACCAATTCAACCGGATGACACGGTTGACTATTTTCGCAATAGCGTGAAATTTACTCGCTCGCTCAACATTGTTAGCTTACGCGCGGAGCGCCTCAATCAAACAGACCTAGTCATAGGCTAAATTTCAATATTCGGAGACTTTCACGATTCGTATGACAAATTTATAGATTTAAGGGGGTAGAAATTCAAAAATTTGTATATACTACAAATGTTGAATACTAACAACATCAAAATTCGTTCAGAGTCCTTCAAAAGCGCGGTAAGACCACAATCGGCTGGTGCGAGACATTCCTGATATCCACCCTCCAAGTCCACGCTCTGACTTTCATGACAATAACTCCATCGCAAGCTAAAAAGTACGACCTCGTTTTCCCCGAGAGTTCTATGTTGGTTAAAATACCAGCGTATCTGACACCCGAAGAAGTTGCACCACCCTTACACTGGACGCAGATGAGTTCTTTAAACGTGTGCATAACGTCTGACAGGCCGATTGGATTCATCGCCTCGAATCGTGACATCACAGGTAATTTCTTTAATACATCATCTATCTTGAAAAAAAATAAATGTATACTTATTTAAAGACTTCTTATTGAAAGAAGATAAATGTATACTTATTTAAAGACCTCTTATTGAAAGAAGATAAATGTATAATTATTTAAAGACTTCTTATTGAAAGAAGATAAATGTATAATTATTTAAATACTTCTTATTGAAAGAAGATAAATGTATACTTATTTAAAGACTTCTTATTGAAAGAAGATAAATGTATAATTATTTAAATACTTCTTATTGAAAGAAGATAAATGTATAATTACTTAAAGACTTCTTATTGAAAGAAGATAAATGTATAATTACTTAAAGACTTCTTATTGAAAGAAGATAAATGTATAATTACTTAAAGACTTCTTATTGAAAGAAGATAAATGTATAATTACTTAAAGACTTCTTATTGAAAGAAGATAAATGTATAATTACTTAAAGACTTCTTATTGAAAGAAGATAAATGTATAATTACTTAAAGACTTCTTATTGAAAGAAGATAAATGTATAATTACTTAAAGACTTCTTATTGAAAGAAGATAAATGTATAATTACTTAAAGACTTCTTATTGAAAGAAGATAAATGTATAATTACTTAAAGACTTCTTATTGAAAGAAGATAAATGTATAATTACTTAAAGACTTCTTATTGAAAGAAGATAAATGTATAATTACTTAAAGACTTCTTATTGAAAGAAGATAAATGTATAATTACTTAAAGACTTCTTATTGAAAGAAGATAAATGTATAATTACTTAAAGACTTCTTATTGAAAGAAGATAAATGTATAATTACTTAAAGACTTCTTATTGAAAGAAGATAAATGTATACTTATTTAAAGACTTCGTACTGAAAGAAGATAAATGTATAATTATTTGGTTAAAGATCATAGATGATTTTGTTAATCGTTTGTCAGGTCTGAGAATCGACATCTACAACAGAATGAATTCGTACGAGCAAGACTTCATCAAGTGCGCCTCAGTGATAGGTGCAGTGTTCCTCCGCCACACAGTGGAAAGCGTCATGGTCAATTCCGCTCCATTGTACACCAGAAAAGGAAGGTATAGCCAATACTTGAAAAAACTAATATGATTATTGTACAAATCTTCCGCATCACAGCCGTGGCAGAGATGATAAAACTGAGAATTCTACAGTGCGCTTTGATCCAAAGGAAATACTTCCACTCCGACGATTCTGTGTACTATCTATTCAAAAAGCACAAAACCTTCAGTAACATGCATCATTTGGTGACCTGTGACTGCCAGTCTTCACGTTAGTTGATAATAATTACTTAAACTTTGGGTATATTTGACGAGTGAGACTCGTCATCTGTTTACTTGAGCGAAGTTACGATCGACAAGTCTTACACGTCATTTGAATTTAAGAAGACTTTTACATATTAATCCATACAGCGACAAATTAAATCCGTCCCATAACAATCTTCAAATAATTCAGTACTCAAAGGGTTAAAAGAACAGTCAAGGTCTTTATGAATTAGGTAGCATGATGGACAAGTCCTTGCCACCGTACGCTGATTGCAAGGTATTAGAGTTCACGATAAACTCTTATCGCAAGCTGCTTTACGACATTTTACCACCGCATGAGAAAGAGGACTATCATACTCGAGCTGTGACTTATTTCGAACGGGAAGCTCGGAGGTGCAGCACCTGTGGCGGTGGCAGCTTCTTTTCGCTGTTCGCGACTGAAGAGGCGACTCAATTGGTAAAACTGTCTTTTTTAATTTTTCATTGAATTGATTTCACTCGTATGTTAGTCGGAACTAACTATTACTGCGTATTATTAAATATTATTGCAGTATTGTTGACCTTTTAAGAATGATACGTTCTGTATGAAGTATACGTTCCGCCATTTCGGATTTTCATTATAGACGCAAATGCTCGACCACGTATTCAGTGATCGTTTAATGCTCGACAATTAAGTTTACATACAAAAAATCTTTTTTAGAGCAAAGAGTTATTTCTAGAGTCAATTCTGTTTGAAGTATACGGTCGGCCATTTTGGTTTTTCATTATAGATGCAAAGGTTTGACCATGTGTTCAGTGGTCGTTTAATGCTCGACAATTAAGTTTACATACAAAAAACTTTTTTAGAGCAAAGAGTTAATTCTAGAGTCAATTCTGTATGAAGTATACGGTCGGCCATTTTGGTTTTTCATTATAGACTTAAATGCTCAACCACATATTCAATGGTCGTTTAATGCTCGACAGTCAAGTTTACATACAAAAAATCTTTTTTAGAGCAAAGAGTTAATTCTAGAGTCAATTCTGTTTGAAGTATACGGTCGGCCATTTTGGATTTTCATTATATTCGTAAATCCTCAACCACATATTCAGTGGTCGTTTAATGCTCGACAGTCAAGTTTACATGCAAAAAATCTTTTTTAGAGCGAAGAGTTAATTCTAGAGTCAATTCTGTATGAAGTATACGTTCCGCCATTTTGGATTTTCATTATAGACTTAAATCCTCAACCACATGTTCAGTGGTCGTTTAATGCTCGACAATTAAGTTTACATTCAAAAAATCTTTTTCAGAGCGAAGAGTCAATTCCAGCGACCAGCACGATGCTCCACAGAAAAATATCATCCTGGAATCGATCGGAGAGGTTCCGCATAGAATCGCGGCGAAGCATCTTCATAGCAGAAAACGACGCGGACAAGAAGCGTGATAACCGCATTCGAAGGATTTCCATTCTACCTGCCCACTCGGATGACGAAGGTAATTTAAATTTTGTGCAGATACTCGCAAGTGTCCTTTAGTATTATCAGGATTTATAATATAATATTATGTGTCCTCTAATTTAATATTATGTTCTGATACTACTAACTGTCCTCTATTTATCAGATTACATAAAAGACCTACCTAGCTACATGAAAAAGCAGAGACAAGATCAAAGTTTCCTGAAACCGTCGTTCTTCAACTTATGGGAGCGTCGTTTAAAAGACTTCACCTACATAAATTACCGGAACTGTCGTTGCAACGAAGTGATCAACTTCGTCTTTTGGAAACTGCATTACCACGTTGAGCGCAGCAGTAACGTCTCGCGTTTTGAACGTCGAAACAGATACGTCGAGATACTAATTGGATATTTGTTAATCACGTTCGTTTCGCAGGAGATATCGATAAATTGACGAAGTGTATGATAGAGTATACGGCTGGTTTGATCCTGACTGCTCAACCGTTGTTCGCGATCAAGTTCCTCACATCCGCCAACGCGAACATCGAAGCCTTGAAGAAGAAGGAGCACCTGGTTCTCGAAGTTCCAAATTGGATCACCGATAGAGGGAAAATTCTGATTCTGATGGGTAACTATTAAATTATTATTGATGGGATAATTCAATATTATTTTAACTTTATATTTATCGTCTTCCATATCCAGGAGACGGGTACCTCGCCTACGGAAATTATTCTCAGGCACGTAAGTTTTATACGGAGGCAGTGTCACTACGGATCCAATCGTTCCATTCGGGCAAAGCAGTTTGCTACAAAACGGTAATTGAGTCGGTGAAACGCAGATTGCACGGGTTTCCCGCTTACAACCTCGGTAAAATCACTGGCAAGCAGGCGTTGCACAACTTGGAAGTAGCTGTGTATTTACATCGATTGGCCGTCGTTTACATGGTCCGTGATCCAGTCATTTAGAAAATAATCTTCTAAAGGGTAATTTTTTAACAGTTTGAGAGGGAAGCCAAGGTGGCGAAGGTGACGATTCTGGACAGCATTCGAGCCGCCTTCGAATCTGCGGGCGGTTTCATACAGAAGGGGATCATATACTTGACGGCGTTGCAGATCTTTCGTCAATTCGAGGGCCAGGAATTTATCGAGCCGTTGGAGAAGTTGATGTCGGTTGTCATTGAGGAGACGGCTCAGTGGAGGACTCCGGAGGCGTTTGTCGTTGCGGCTAAAATCTTTGTGACCATGTACAACACTAGGTATCAGTAATTACAAATTAATTCTTGAATAGACTTCTTAGATTACATAGATTTCAATGTTCTTTCCACCAGAATATTGCAGGGCAAGATAAAAGAAACTATACAGATCGGAATTAAAATATGCAAAATATGCACTACCTTGCACGTCACCCACATAAAGCTAACCGTTCTGCCATCACTGATCGAATTAATGGTAGCTATTTTCGTACACTCATCTTCATGTTCCGTGATCAAGAAGTCATCACATCAGGATTCTCTTTCAGCTATGGACGAAGCGTTTGAACGAAGCGGCCGATTTATTGAAGGAACTTTACTACACAGCCAAAGAGGACACCGATTACTCTGCCATAACTTGGTACTATGCTCTCTGTCTACAATGCAGCTTGGACGCTTCCATGGTTGTCGAATCCTACGAAACTTGTTCCAGATTCTATCAAAGCTTTTTCAGTAAGAATGCTTAAGAATTTTTAACGATGAAATGAAAACTATTTTTTGAAATCAGATAGCAAGTCGAGAAGCTGCGTTTTACGGGATCCTCAGAGCTTGTGCCGTTTGACTACCTGTTTAGCGATCTGGCAATTACGGATGTAAGTACACGTTTTGGATATAATTATTCAAATATTTATGTGTAAATGGGTGTAGGAGAATGGTTGTCAATGAAATTCTGGTGCTGGATGTCGAAGAGTATACTGAGGGAATTGACGCTGGCAAATTTTCACAGATTATTAGTTGCGTTAAGGTAAAATTTCATTGTTGGACAGGTTAAGTGGATATAACTATTAATGGTGGTCAAGTTGACATAACTATTAATGGTGGTCAAGTAGACATATCTATTAATGGTGGTCAAATGGACATAACTATTAATGGTGGTCAAGTAGACATAACTATTAATGATGGTCAAGTTGACATAATTATTAATGGTGGTCAAGTAGACACAACTATTAATGGTGGCCAAATGGACATAACTATTAATGGTGGTCAAGTTGACATAATTATTAATGGTGGTCCAGTGGACATAACTATTAATGGTGGTCAAGTTGACATAATTATTAATGGTGGTCCAGTGGACATAAATATTAATGATGGTCAAATGGGCATAACTATTAATGGTGGTCAAGCAGACATAATTATTAATGGTGGTCAAGTTGACATAATTATTAATGGTGGCCAAATGGACATAACTATTAATGGTGGTCAAGTAGACATAATTATTAATGGTGGTCAAGTTGACATAATTATTAATGGTGGTCCAGTGGACATAACTATTAATGGTGGTCAAGTCGACATAACTATTAATGGTCGTCAAATAGAAATATCTATTAATGGTGGTCAAGTAGACATAACTATTAATGATGGTCAAGTAGACATATCTATTAATGGTGGTCCAGTGGACATAACTATTAATGATGGTCAACTGGACATAACTATGTTGTCCACATAACTATTAATATCCATAAACGAATTTCCATTTGTTTATTTTATTATAAATGTCACAGGCTCTCGAATGTTATCTGCTAATACTGAAACGTCGAATTACGATAAAAAAGTCAAGCGACCTCTTCGATCGAGTGCAGAACGTGCAGACGATCATAAAAACTCTCCGAGATGTTGCCGATCAAGCCAAATTCGTTTACCCCTTCCTGTACTTTATGGAGGCGTACATGGAGCTTCTTCGAGGTCGAAAAGGATCCGCTCAAAATTATTTGAACAAGGCTCATAAGTGGGCCGCGCACCAGCAGAACAAATTTATGCTGGCCTGGATCGAGCAAAATAAGAGGGTAATCGATTTGAGAACAGGATTAAATTGAAATATTTGAAATATCAAAGATTTATTGAAAAATTAGCTATAATTGTCAATACTGCTGGTGTGAAGTAAGATAAGGTTGATGTTGAAAGTGTAGACGTGGAAGGAGGCGAACTACAACAATATGGCGCAGTACTGGGCGGAACACGTGGGTGCAGAGGACGCGATTCGTTGGCAGGAGATCCACAAGTTTGGTGTGAGTGCTTGGTCGACGATACTGTTTCCTCTTCCAGTTCCAGACTCGAATATTTGAATATTCGAATATTGTTCGTAGGATTGCGTTGAATAAATATAAGTCGTAGAAAGTAATTTATGAATAAGGAACTACAGTACATATAACTAATTAGAAATTGTAGCGAAATATTTATTGATTAAAGGCGTATTACAGTTTCACGTTCTAAGAAGTATACACGACGATCCCCTCGTGTGCACGATAGTGCCTCGTTAAATAAAACACTCGATACTTTCGGTTCGTTGTCGTTCTGCTGAACCTCCAGATCGACCTAAGGAAATCTCGCGACCGACGATATGCTTTTGCACACCCACGACAATGATACCTCATATGCTTAATTAAATTCGTCTATCTTCGAATTTGACCGAGTACGCCAAGGATATGTTTCGAGCTAAACGAAGGAAGTAAAAGAAGGAAGGACCGATTCCTCCATCTTGAATACGAAGAATCGATCGATCTCGGTTTCGCGATTAATATATTATTTACCATTGTTTTTTTTTCATATAAAATCCGCGTTCTATATTCTCGCATCACGTTCACTAGGATCGAACGAAACGATGCTCGTCCTTGTTTGAATTTGAACCATTTCCGTGTCACACAGTTCTGAAAATCCTGACACGTTCATTCCGTGACCGACGTACATTAATATAATATACAATCAGCAGATGCGAAACTTCTTTCACCTCAACGCCAATAATTGTCTAATCTGATCCAGCGACAGTTTCATGCTAAACAACCTCGATGACCCACCACGTGGCGATCGTTCCTTCGCAACTCTACTTTTCAAAAGGAAGGAAGATTTCGTGTTAGATTTCGTTGGCGTACTCGGCCTGGTTACATTCCGTTCGACGTGGCTAATAATGACGGGGATTTGAATCGAATCGCTCGCGGAAAACGTCTCGTCTCCTTTTGTGGCTGGGTGGGCCTCGATCGCACGGAACGTCGACGTTTCTCGATCATTCGTGCGTGTCGACGTCGTTGTCGATGCGACTGCTTCGTATTCCTGTCTTGCCCGTCCAAGGATAGATGTCCGGACACGTTTGACACGTCTTCATGTACCTCACTCCGCTCTTGTGCCACAGATTACAGACTTTCGCGTTGTTGCATTTCTTTGGCCGGTCCTGTAACAACGTGCCATTGAAATAAAGCGGTTCATCAATTTCTTGTACTGTTCATAAATTTCTTGTTCATCAATGCTGATAGCGCACCTGATAATTACACCCGAAGGGTTCGAAGGTGTGCATTAGAGGCAGCGGCGTAGGATTCCTGACCCACTGAATGGCCTGCCAATTCGTAACTATCCACACGTCGTCCATGGCGACTATAGTGTCTAGGAACGAAATGAAACCCTCCTTGTGGTGAGGTTGAGTGAACCAGGCAGCGTGATAGAAGAGTCCAAATGGTGCTCTAAAAGATTACGTATTAATTTGATTCTACAACTCCAGAAGTTTCATGTCTTGCAATTAAATATGAACCTGTTGGTCGTGTAATGTCTCTCAAAGTTCTTGATCAGCATCTTATAAACGCCATCAGCGGTCGGCGGGTTGCTGCACGCGTCTCCCATAGAACATCTACCTCCGTTCAAGTCTTGCCACATCACCATAGGAACCTCCCACAAGCCAGGATAAGACCTGGTTGGACACGGAGGTATCATGCAGTCGTGGAAGAGTTTGTAGTCCAGGGTGTATGGCCAACTGGGTGGTCGGTTCTCGTAGATCGGCATCGAGGAGTCATACGTGAAGTTCGTGTCCCACAGCATTTTGAACATGTTGTTACCTCCGACCTGTTGATTAACAGATACAATTCATCAAGGTCTATAGACCTGGTCCGTATGATCTGGAACGAAAATTACCGATAAGAAGGGAGCTCTCATTCCTCTGACATCCTCCAGCTTCACACCTCCATAGGCCGAGAGGATTTCGCGTTGTCCGGCAACTTCTCGCGCCCATTTTCGCTGAGAGAACTGCTCACCGAAACTGTGCCTGTTTCAATCGTTTCTATCACTTGATCGTTCAATTTGTACGCGAGAAGCAATCGCGAGGTCAGAACGCAAGAAACAATCACCGGACTGATTCATGCCTTCCATTAGCGGCTATGTGTGTTCGCAACTCGAGAGAAAATTGCAAGAATCTTCTTCGATCAATCACAATGTTTCATAAGAACAGGTTCCAGCGTGTGGCTTGCGTCCTGACCCGTAATGTGCGAAAAGCACTAATGTCTATCTGAATAAGCGGCTTGTGGTCGATCGAATGGCTAATCAAGCTGATATTAGGCGCTAATTGATCGGCGTAATGGCAGAGCGTGAACCGCTATGACCGAACCGACGCGATTGCTCAATGGTAATGGAGTCGTGATTGATGGTCGAGAACAGGTGGCGAAGTATGTAATTAGCTCGATCAATTGCAGAACTCTGTCAAAGGCATTGACTCTACTAACAATTACAGGGCATCTCTGTTAACCCTTTGCAGTCGGTTTCATTTAATTATTGGGTTTGATGGGTTTGATCCTTTTTGTGGAAAGGGGTGGAGGCTAGCATAATCATGTCTAAACCTGAGATGGTTAGTCTAATCAGTATATTCAAGAATTCACTTTTATTTTGTCCGACCTTGTGGCTTGATTTTATAAGAATTAAAAGCTTCATATAAATATGGCTAAGTATGAAATAAATAAATGTGTGAATATGTGTAATATGGCTAAGTATGAAATTAATAGATCAGACGATCAGATAAAGACTGCAAAGGGTTGAATAGAATATAAAAGTTGTAAACCTCGAAGTCCATGTTCTCTTTGTCGGATGTACTTACGAAACCGTGTGGGAGGCAATTTCGTGCCCGGCGGCATATAGGTTTTGGACCTGGCTGTAGTCGGTCCACTCGTGAGAGACGTAGAAGGTAGCCGATATGGGACAGCCGTTGGGGTTTTTTCGTCCCTTCTCGAATAGATCAGCGTATAAACCCTTGTTCAGGTCGTTCACGGAATCGTCGAACGTCAGGAGAACGATTTGCGGTATCTCCTCCGGGAGGTAGTCACCTGTTTCAGGACGGAAAGGACCAAAGGACACGTGGACGCGGAGCATGTATTTGTTTCGTCAGGTACGTTTGTACATCAAGATGTGTGGTCGACATGTCCGAAAGGGATTCACAATCGTGTCGTGTCGTGTGTGCGTGCGTATATGTACGTCGACGAGTGTAGCAGCCGTTAAAGTGTGGTGCGTGATGGGAATGCGAGGGATGAAGTGATGCGAAAGAAGAGCGAGAAAAGAGAAAAGTTAGTACGAAAGTCATTAGTATACGGCACATGTGCAAGGCAGGTGAAACTTGTTTCGCGACCCGTGTCGCACACAGTGGATCATCTTTGAACGTTTCACCGGTCGAGCACCGCAATTTACGTTTTATCGCGATCTTCGACGATCCTCCGATCGATGGTACAAGTGCTAACGGAAGCGATTTGTACCGGAAACGCTAGAAACGTCAATAAGACTGACATCTCGCGGATACCATCGGTATCCTTTCTATCCTTATTGGTTCCCAGGCTCGTAACGGAGAATTTTACTTTTAAATGAGCTCAGCTTTTTCTTGCCGCCATCAAGATACGTTGCTCTAGTTTACGATCTTAGAATAGAAATTGCCTGGCATGTCCTGCACAGCTGGTCGCTCCGGGAGACAACTAACTGAGGGCTACTGTTGGAAACGTGAAAGTTGATCGAAAAATTTGCATCAAAATTGTATCTAGGTTACTATTTACAAAGCTTATTATTCGTAAAATTATCATTTGAAGATTTTGGTAAATTTTGGGCAGAGTAGGTAAAAAATGACGGCCTGGAGCTGCTGCCCTCTACTTGTGTCCTTTTTACCGTGTCTGGAAGAGGGCGCCTTAAACCTCTTCTTATACTACTGTGCAGCCATATATGCTAATATTATGTAACACAAAATTATTTCAGCAGAATTACTAGATTGGTAAATATTTTCTTAGGCCATGGATATTAGGATAATTATTAGAGTAACCTGATTACTAGAGCAACATAGCGTGGCAATATATGTATGCTATTGTCCTTTTACTTGATTATGAATACTTCATATTTGTATATGTTTGATTTAAACTATAAACTATAGCGCTTGTGGAACTTAAAAGGATTTTAGAGTTCTATTAAACTTGTATTTTGGAGGATCGTTGAAGTAACAAAGCGTTCTCGAATCCTCAGGTTCTTCTTGAGGATTCACATAGGCGACAGAAAAAATCGTGCGTTAGTCGAAGAGAGGCGCAGGCGATGGCGTTCGATGATCAGAATACAGTAAAGTCTGTCTGTGCTCACTTCTCTGTACAACTCATGTGCCATTATATTTCTAATTATCACCTACAGAAACTTGTCAACGTATCTCTATCAATCGAATAATCTCTCTGATCATCTCTGACATCAGTAAGCTGTGACGACGTTCAAGATGTTTGCAAAAACAAGTATACATTGTACATGTATACTAAACAATTTAGATGTCATCACTGCAGATATTCATGCATGTAATACAATTCATCTAATACATCAAACTGTGCAAAAATGTAAATGATTCAATTTATGAACTCTATCTGTGTATTAACACTAGAGCTACCAGTGTTGAATGCACACCTCTGAATTGAAAATGAAATGAAAAAATAAATAAGCACTAAGGCAACCAACATGTACAATTCTTTATCTCAGCAACATATGACAAGTATTTCGACAAAAAATTCAGTAACAAAATTTTCTAAAATAAAGAATGAAACTTGAAGTCAGTCAGACAATCAACATGTATAATTCTTTGTCTCAACACCATATGACAAGTATTTCGACAAAAAATTCAATAACAAAATTTTCTAAAATAAAGAATGAGACTTGAAGTCAGTCAGACAACCAACATGTACAATTCTTTATCTCAGCAACATATGACAAACATTTCGACAAAAATACAGCAACAAAATTTTCTAAAATAAAGAATGAAACTTGAAGTCAGCCAGACAATCAACATGTACAATTCTTTATCTCAACACCATATGACAAGTATTTTGACAAAAATACATCAACAAAATTTTCTTAAATAAAATACGAAACTTGAAGTCAGCCATTTTGACTAGTTACTAGTTCTAATGTTAAACAAATGTGATACAAACACATAAATATCCACATTCTCGTTTCAGAAGTTAATCCACTCGATCGTAGGATAACAAGTGCAAAGATCACGGTTTCTATAAAACTTGTAATATTATAGTTGCTTCTGAAAGTATTAAGCTTTAGAGCTTTAGATTCTAGAGCACATAATTCGTGAGCACATAGACAAAGTCTGACCATACTCTTATCGAACGAATAGCGTGTGAACGATGCTCGATTGTTTGCCTCCCCTTCAACTTACGAGATCGTGTGCGATGCCAATTCGTGGCCATCCGCATAAAGGTTTTGCACCTGGCTATAATCGGTCCACTCGTGCGACACATAGAACGTGGCCGTGATCGGACACCCGTTCGGATTCTTACGACCGTTTTCGAACAGATCGCTGTACAACGGTTTGTTTAGATCATTCACGGCATCGTCGAAAGTGAGCAGCACGATTTGCGGCGTCTGTTCCGCCTGAATTCCACCTGGATACACGACATCAATAATACGGACGTCAAGGTTGCTACTGTACCCGAGAATTTATCTCAAAAGCGGAATCTCGGGGAAAGAAGCGGACTTGAGACTTGCTTGATTAAAATGGGCGAATATGAACCAGTGGCGTAACTAGGACTTGTCGACTAGCACTCTGTCGAAGCAGAGGATGTGATTATGTGGAGAGTTGAAAAATTTGGGAAGTGGGGAATTGTGGGGTGGAAATTTTGGGAGGGAAAAATATCGGGGGTTTGAATTAGGGAGTTGGGGAGTTGGATATGTGGATGTTGAGATTTGGAAATTTGGGAAGATGAAACATTGAGGAGTTGGAACTTTAGGAATTTGGGAAATTTGAGAAATTTGAAATTTTAAGGGTTGGAAATTTGAAAAGTTGGAAATTTGGCGAGATGAAACTTTGAGAAGTTGGAACATTGGAAATTTGAAAATTTGGAGTATTAGAAATTTTAAGGGTTGGAAATTTGAAGAATTGAAAATTTGGAAATTTGCGGAGATAGAAATTTGAGAAGATGCAACTTTGAGGGATTGGGACATTTGGAATTTGGAGATTTGGCGTATGAGAAATTTTAAGGGTTGGAAATTTGAAGAGTTGAGAATTTGGAGATTTGGAAATTTGAGAAGTTAGAAATTTGCGAAGGTGGAAATTAGAGGAGATGAAACTACCAGGAGTTGGAACTTTGAGAAGTTGGAACATTGCAAATTTGAAAACTTGGAGTATTAGAAATTTTAAGGGTTGGAAATTTGAAGAGTTGAAAATTTGGAGATTTGGAAATTTGAGAAGTTAGAAATTTGAGAAGGTGGAAATTAGAGGAGATGAAACTACCAGAAGTTAAAACTTTGAGAAGCTGGAACATTGGAAATTTGAAAATTTGCAGTATTAGAAATTTTAAGGGTTGGAAATTTGAAGAGTTGAAAATTAGGAGATTTGGGAATTTGAGGAGAACTTTGAGAGATTAAATATTTGGGGAGTTGGATATTTTAAGATTTGAAACTTTGAGTAATTATGAATATGAGAAGTTGGAATTTTGTGTATTTAGAAATGTAAGAGGTTGATTCTTGGAAGAGTAACTTTAAAGAATTCTGGAGAATAGATATGAAACACACCCTAGTCCCCAGTTACGCCAATGGACATCCGACTCCGACATATTCTTCCGGATGATTTACTCTCGGTATGCAGTTGCACAATCTTCAGACGCCGGGTTTTAATCGCTTACAGTTCGCGAGCGCGCCAAGAATATTATCATCGTGGTCCCGAACCCGTTAAGGTTCGTTAAACGCTTCGATACCGTTCGAATTCAACTCACGCGCAGGGAGCTTTCGATTTCGAGCAACAACGTATGCGAAATGGCGACCGGCTAAGCGGATCTGTTTCACTTTCCAGCGGATTGTACGCACGGCAATGCGTAACGTTAGAACCAGAGAAAGTCACGAGTGGCTACTAAACCGATCGACTAAACTTAACATTCGCGCCACGAACGCTTGCGTCATCTTAGCTCGTGTTTCCGATCGATTTTACCATATCGATATTTTTCCGTGTTTATCTTCATATGTTCCTCCAAATAGCATCGGTTGTTAGAGTTTAATTTTAAGTACTCTTGTATAGGGAAATTTGAAGGAAGGCATTCGTCAAAGTTAGCTCAAACATTTCTGAAGATATAGGTACTCTTTCGTTAATTTTTAAGATGGTCAAAAATTTTAAATAGTACTTTAGTTTTAATTTAAGATCACTGTACGATCATGGCATTGTTTGCTAAATTTTTAATATCCTTACTCAAGGAAATTTATGGAAAAGTTATTTGTGAAAATTAGCTCAAACATTTCTGAAGCCATAGGTACACTTTCATACATTTTTTAAGTGGTCAAAAATTTTAAGTCATACTTTAATTTCAATTTGAGATCACTGTACGATCATAGCATCGTTTGTTAAATTTTAACTACCCTTACACAGGGAAATTTGTGGAAAAATCATTTGTGAAAATTAGCTCAAACATTTCTAAAGCCATAGGTACATTTTCATAAATTTTTTAAGTAGTCTAAAATTTAAAGACATACTTTAATTGTAATGTAAGATCACTCTACGATCATCGCATCGTTTGTTAAATTTTAACTACCCTTACTCAAGAAAATTTGTGGAAAAGTCATTTGTAAAAATTAGCTCAAACATTTCTGAAGCCATAGGTACACTTTCATAAATTTTTTAAGTGGTCAAAAATTCGAAGTCATATTTTAATTTCAGTTTAAGGTCACTATAGGATCTCTCAGGAAATTGTGCAAAATTAACCCTTTGTCGTACAATTTTTTTTGTCCGATCTGTTTATAGCTGTTCAAAACTGTTCATAGCTATAATATTACAGCAAACAAGGAAATATAAAATGTTATGATTTTCAGTGATCCTTTAAGTATAAATTATAATTGGCTCTAGTTCAAGAGTATTCAAATTCAACTTCAAGTTGCGGAGTATTCAGATTTAACTACAAGTTGAAGAGTATTCAAAATTTGAGTAAAGTTATATTTGACTTGTGAGTGTATCATACATGACGCACACGCGACGCACATGGTTGCGTTGAAGTATAAGTTTTGTATCCACCGATTAATGCCATTTGGAGGAACAAGTTCTCACAATGTTTAATCAATCAATTAAATAAAAAATCCCAAAAAATTCTCCTACCTGGGATGTCTGAACCACCGCAGCTACAATCCGGAAGCAAGCACACGTCCCTGCGACATTTGGCAGCCGGCTTATCAACCTGCGGTGTCGGATAAATCGGTGCTGGCCTCGTCGGCGGAAACCTGTAGATGTCCACAAACTCTTGAGCCTTCGACACAATTTCGGTGGAGGGTTTCAAGGTTGGCCTCGACCGCCTGAAAACCAATAATGCAATTAACTTTAGAGGAACCCTTGCGTTCCACTAGCTGGAATCCTTTGTCTATCATATGGAGTTATTAATATATTGCAAAGTGAGGTATTCAGCAAATTATAAGTTAGACAAATTGAGTAATAAAGTTTACGACGCAGCCACGTTCGTTCACCTCGGAGGACAATGAGACACAGTGGCTCTCGAGGTTTACGATCCACCGCATCGGATATCCGCTTTCAACGCACAGTTCGATGGCACCTATCTTTGTTCTTTACTTCGATAGAACTTCCGTGTTAATTGTTAATTAACAGCTATTGCACGCCGGTAATTTGATGGGAACATAGCTAGCGATGCTGTCTTTGTTGTTCACGATATTTTTATTATTTACGGTATCTATTTATAACTTAGAGTGGTATTTTCTGTGTGCAAGAAAATGGGACCAATTGATGTCTTTGCACGTATAATTAGTTTAATTATTGTGTTAACTTGCTGACAGAGAAAAAATTGTAGAAATAAAAATGGAAACTTGTTCTTGTCTGAAGGAAGTCTACATTCGATACTTTGTTTTTATTCATTTACCGTTAGTCTAAATGTTACGTGGCTTTTGTTACTCGTTTACCTACTTACAACTTGCTGGAAGATTTGAATGTTGAAGAAGAGAAGATACCGGTTCAATTGGTATATTTACATGTGTAATTAGGTTATTGTATAATTAGCGGAGATAAAGTTGCAAGAACTTGTCCTCGTTTGAAGGAAACGTTGTATTCTAAATGTCATATCATCTGATACTTTTCCCGTTATTCTTACTGATGTATCTCTTTCGTTTCTTTGGTAGTTGTTCTGTTTTATGGTATCTAACTTGCTGGAAGATTGAGATGTTGAAGAAGAAAAGATACCGGTTCGATATATTTACTGTATAATTAGTTTAATTGTAACTACAAGAGTTCTTGTGACTACAAGAATGTTGAAAAGAGACATATCCAATACCTGAATCCACAAATCCCTCAATACTTAAATTTCTGTAATACATTATTGATATTTAAATTGATATCAAGTACCTAAATCCCTAAATTCTAAAATTTCCAAATTCCAAGATTTCCAAATCCCAAAGTTCCCAAATCCTAAAATTCTTAAATTCCAAAATTTCCAAATTCCAAAATTTCCAAATTCCAAAATTTCCAAATTCCAAAATTTCCAAATTCCAAAATTTCCAAATTCCAAAATTTCCAAATTCCAAAATTTCCAAATTCCAAAATTTCCAAATTCCAAAATTTCCAAATTCCAAAATTTCCAAATTCCAAAATTTCCAAATTCCAAAATTTCCAAATTCCAAAATTTCCAAATTCCAAAATTTCCAAATTCCAAAATTTCCAAATTCCAAAATTTCCAAATTCCAAAATTTCCAAATTCCAAAATTTCCAAATTCCAAAATTTCCAAATTCCAAAATTTCCAAATTCCAAAATTTCCAAATTCCAAAATTTCCAAATTCCAAAATTTCCAAATTCCAAAATTTCCAAATTCCAAAATTTCCAAATTCCAAAATTTCCAAATTCCAAAATTTCCAAATTCCAAAATTTCCAAATTCCAAAATTTCCAAATTCCAAAATTTCCAAATTCCAAAATTTCCAAATTCCAAAATTTCCAAATTCCAAAATTTCCAAATTCCAAAATTTCCAAATTCCAAAATTTCCAAATTCCAAAATTTCCAAATTCCAAAATTTCCAAATTCCAAAATTTCCAAATTCCAAAATTTCCAAATTCCAAAATTTCCAAATTCCAAAATTTCCAAATTCCAAAATTTCCAAATTCCAAAATTTCCAAATTCCAAAATTTCCAAATTCCAAAATTTCCAAATTCCCAAATTCCCAAATTCCCAAATTCCAAAATTCCCAAATTCCCAAATTCCCAAATTTCCAAATTCCAAGATTGCCAAATTCCAAAATTTCCAATACCTAGATCCCCAAATACCTAAATTCCCAAATTTCTACATTCCCACTACCTAAATCTCCAAATTCCAAAATTCCTAAATCCCCAAATTCCCACATTCCCAAATACCTCCACCCCAATTCTTTAACCTCGAACCTCGAACTTGTCCTCGCCCACAGAAAGTCTACATAGAATCCCAAACACAACACCATCCACCAATCACAAATACCCCATTTTTATTAATATTTCCATCACTCTTAATGGTGCCAACATTTCTTTCCCGTTTCGCTACCTTTCCTCGCCGCTTTCATATGCTGTCATTACAGCGTTGAACGATGATAGCGCATAATGAAGGGTCTCGGTAATCTCCCCTCGATTAATAGGAAAATTATACAGTAACGTCTTTAGACATCCAATCGTATGCAAATAGATCAATGGAACCGTTCTACTTTCTAACGGGACTCGTTCGACAAAACAACTCGTACTGATTAAAGTGCAATCTCTGTGACAAATTCGATTTACACTACAACTACCAACATTTTATGCACATTTACTTTCAAGTTGAAAATAAAGTAGAATAGTAGGTAAATAAAGAATGAAACATATACTAACATATAGTAATACATATTCTGATAGTAGTAGTACATATTCTGATAAAAATGAAAACACACATTTTGATAAAAGCATCTTAACCCTTTGCACTCGAGAGGTGAGTCTCAGTCACCATTTTATTTAATACAACAATTTGAAAGAAGCATTTTTTAACTGATTCTTTAATATGACACGTGTGATGTATAAACATAGTGAAACAAAGAATAATGGAAATTATTAGTAGAAAAATAATAACCTCAAAAGAATTCATTTAACTTTTTAACTAAGTTTTAAAGTTGCTGTTTGTAGACAGTCAAATTATCTATGAGTGCAAACGGTTAATAAATTTTATGGTATAGTTTAGGAACTGCTAAACCAGTCAAAATGACTGGTTAAGTAGTAATGGTGTTAAACGAAATACAGTATTGCCTCGAAATAAGCAACCAGGGACTAGCTTATTTCAAAAGTAGGCTATTCGGCTTGCTTTTGGTTTTTGAATCACTATGTGTTACAGTGAGAAAATAATATACAAGTTCTGTCTACGTTTCAATAAATTTTTCAGTCAACCGTAAAAATTATTAATTTTGAGATCCCTCACTCGGAGGTCGACTTCAATCAAAGAAGTGGGATTTGAACTTCTTAAAATGGCTGACTTCGATTAAAGAAGAGGGATCCAAACTTCTTAAAATGGCCGACTTCGATCAAAGAAGTGGGATCCGAACTTCTTAAAATGGCCGACTTCGATGAAAGAGTCAAATAGAAATTTGCTAATTTTGAAGCTTGAAACTGTTACTTGTTTCAAGGCAATATTGTATGATTTATACTTTATACGATTTCGTGGCGAATTTTAATGAATCAAAGAAAGGTGGCGAACTTACGGTGGTGCAGTGCCACGGTGAATCTGTTGCGGACGTCCTCGGCTGCAAAAGAAACGCAAAACAATTGAAGGAAAAACAGAAAAAAGTGAAGGAGGAAAATGTTAAACGGAGCTGGAGAAAGCGAACGTTTCACGGAATACGGAGAGCAGCGAAATCGGGTCTTGGTCGATGGACACGCTTGCAAGGCCATTTGCTCTTTCGACGCGGAAACTGAGAGGTCGACAAACAAAGAGGATGAAGATCAGAGATGTCAGCTGGAAAGCTATCTCTTGAAGATTGTGCGGAGTTCATGGGTCAAGGACCTTTGAACGTCCTTTATGTAACGTGTCTTATGAATAGGATGGGTTCAATGTTCTTTTAGAGTGAAGATGGGAAGAATGGTCTCATGAAAGAAATGGCTTGATGACATTAAATATATAAATATATAAGTTAGATAATTAAATACAGTAACTATTAATAATGATAGCAAATGTTTGTAAAAGCATAAATATATAAGTTGAATAATTAAATGCAGTAACTAATAGCAAATGTTTGTAGAAGTCAAATAAGGTATTAATTTTGGGTAACAAGAATTAGTGTGAATAAATTGAAATAGTTAGGTTAGTATATCTGGGATAACTGTATTAGGTTAAGAATGAAAAATATTCAAATTTATGAATGTTTATGAAAATCGAATAAGGTATCAATTTTGAGCAACAAAAATTAGTGTGAATAAATTGGAATGGTTAGGTTAGTACATATAGTGCAGCAGTATTGGGTTAAGAATGGAAAATATTCAAATTTCTGAATGTTTACAAAAATCAGATAAGATAATTAATTTTGGATAACAAGAATTAGTGTGAATATGGTAATACATCTTCTACAACAGTATTAAATAATAAAAATAGAAGATAATCAAATCTGTGAATATTTGCAAAAATAAAATAAAGTATTAGTGGAGATAGCAAAAATTAATATATAAATAAGTTGAAATGGTTACTACCCATTCTGCAACAGCATTAAATAATAAAAATATAAAATAATCGAATCTTTAAATATTTACAAGAGCAAAATAAAGTAGTAGTTGAGGTAGCAAGAATCATTATGAATAAATTAAAATAGTTACATCTTCTGCAACAGCACTAAATAATAAAAATAGAAAATAATGAAATCTTAAAATATTTTCAAAAGTAAAATAAAGTCTTAGTTAAAGTAGCAAGATTTAATGTCCATAAGTTGAAATAGCTACTATATCTTCTGTAACAGCATTAGATGACGATAAAAATAAACGATTTTCAAGCCTTGTTAATTAGTGATTAACTCAGCTCAAGTTATCTAAGAATCAAACAAGACATTCAAGAAAAATTCAAGATTTCCAATAAGTTTTACCATAAAATTGCAAGGAATGATAATAAATAGTATAATCGCGACTCTCTTGTAATGAAGGTTTACGACGTGGCTTTTGAACTTAGGTAGCAAATGTTTGGTACAATCTTTAAATGTCACGCGACAGGGAACGCGTCAATCTTCTCCGCGAACATCGAGACGAGCAACAGCGTAACGATTTTCAATTGCAGACGTGAAACCTGGTCCACAGCTGACCGAACAGCTGCTTTTCTACAAGGTGTCATTACTAATTTATCACTAGATGCGCTCGCTTGCTTGCATTTCTAATAAACCACAACATTTCACTTTCCTACGTTTCATTATTGTAATGTCCATTTACTTTCGGAGTAATTCATGTTTTAGTTATGGGATATTGAATATTTGGAGGACTTTTTAAATAGTTGGATTATTGAATAGCTAAATTTTTATATTTTTTTAGATTCAAATACGCAGATTCTAAAATTATCAGGTGCCCAAATTTTTTCCAGAGATGTAGATTTTAAGATTACTAAATTTATAAATCCTTAAATTTTCAAATTTCCAAATTTCCAAATTTCCAAATTTCCAAATTTCTAAATTTCTAAATTCCCTTATTTCTAAAATTTCATAATTCCCAAATACCCGAATTCCAAAATTCCCAAATCCCGAAATTCCCAAGTCCCAAAATTCCCAAATCTCGAAATTCCCGAATCCCAAAATTCCCAAATCCCAAAATTCCCAAATCTCAAAATTTCCCTAAAATTCCCAAAATTCCCAAATCCCAAAATTCCCAAATCTCAAAATTTCCCTAAAATTCCCAAAATTCCCAAATCCCAAAATTCCCAAATCTCAAAATTTCCCTAAAATTCCCAAAATTCCCAAATCCCAAAATTCCCAAATCTCAAAATTTCCCTAAAATTCCCAAAATTCCCAAATCCCAAAATTCCCAAATCTCAAAATTTCCCTAAAATTCCCAAAATTCCCAAATCCCAAAATTCCCAAATCTCAAAATTTCCCTAAAATTCCCAAAATTCCCAAATCCCAAAATTCCCAAATCTCAAAATTTCCCTAAAATTCCCAAAATTCCCAAATCCCAAAATTCCCAAATCTCAAAATTTCCCTAAAATTCCCAAAATTCCCAAATCCCAAAATTCCCAAATCTCAAAATTTCCCTAAAATTCCCAAAATTCCCAAATCCCAAAATTCCCAAATCTCAAAATTTCCCTAAAATTCCCAAAATTCCCAAATCCCAAAATTCCCAAATCTCAAAATTTCCCTAAAATTCCCAAAATTCCCAAATCCCAAAATTCCCAAATCTCAAAATTTCCCTAAAATTCCCAAAATTCCCAAATCCCAAAATTCCCAAATCTCAAAATTTCCCTAAAATTCCCAAAATTCCCAAATCCCAAAATTCCCAAATCTCAAAATTTCCCTAAAATTCCCAAAATTCCCAAATCCCAAAATTCCCAAATCTCAAAATTTCCCTAAAATTCCCAAAATTCCCAAATCCCAAAATTCCCAAATCTCAAAATTTCCCTAAAATTCCCAAAATTCCCAAATCCCAAAATTCCCAAATCTCAAAATTTCCCTAAAATTCCCAAAATTCCCAAATCCCAAAATTCCCAAATCTCAAAATTTCCCTAAAATTCCCAAAATTCCCAAATCCCAAAATTCCCAAATCTCAAAATTTCCCTAAAATTCCCAAAATTCCCAAATCCCAAAATTCCCAAATCTCAAAATTTCCCTAAAATTCCCAAAATTCCCAAATCCCAAAATTCCCAAATCTCAAAATTTCCCTAAAATTCCCAAAATTCCCAAATCCCAAAATTCCCAAATCTCAAAATTTCCCTAAAATTCCCAAAATTCCCAAATCCCAAAATTCCCAAATCTCAAAATTTCCCTAAAATTCCCAAAATTCCCAAATCCCAAAATTCCCAAATCTCAAAATTTCCCTAAAATTCCCAAAATCAAATTCCCAAAGTTCCCAAAATTCCACAAATTTCTAAAATACCTGAAATTCTCCAAATTCCTAAAATTCCCCAAATTCTCAAAATCCCCCAATTTCCCCAAATTCCCCAAATTCCCGAAATTCACAAAATTCTCCAAATTTCAAAATAATCCCAAAAAATCCCCGAATCACCAAATCCAAAAATTTTCAAATTCTCACAAAAATCTTAAAATCAAGTTTTCTATTAATAACTTCAACGTCTAAAAGTAGCAACAGTGACAAATGAAAAGAGACACTCTATAGAGACGCGTGCCGCAGATAGAAGGGGAATTCATGCGTTTGAACGCGTTCGAAGAAAGCGTGAAATAAAGTCGCATTCCCTGTCCGTACAAATCGATCCGCTCGAATAATATCGATCAAAGCACGGTAGCCGCGTGGCGATCCTTCGCGACTCCGTTTCTTGGCTAGTTGGTTGCGTAATTTGAAAAAACTGACCGACGACAATCACCGCTGTCGCGTATGTGGATACTGTACCTGGGTGCATTGACCGTGTAAGACCTGCTGGTGGTGATCGGAGTCTGAGTGGTCGTCGTCAACGGTATAAACGTGTCCACGATGGCGTTTGGTGTCGTCACGTGGACCACAGGGTGGCTGAGAACGTTCGGTCTATGAACACGTTATTTATTATTAAATTACATTATGGTTATATTCCATTTCCTGCACAATTTCTAAATTCTTGAATTCTTTAATCATTGAATTTTCATTATCTGTAGACTTGCAAAATTTTTGATTTCTAATTTCAACGCGTAAAATAATCCCAACTTTTCCTTATATAAAACTTGTTATACATTATCAAATTATAGTAAGGTTATATGTAATTTTCTGCAACCCCAATCTCTAAATTCCTGATTTTTCTAATCGTCGAATTTTCATTATTTTGTGTGTAGACTTGCAAAATTCTGGATTTCTATTTTCAACGTGTAAAATAATCCCAACTTCTCCTTATACAAAGCTTGTTATACTTTATCAAATTATAGTATGGTTAAATGTAATTTTCTGCACCCCTGAAGTTCCTGAATTCTCCAATTATCAAATTCTACCTGTATTATTTTTATCATTTTGCACTCTCACAGACTTTTAAAAATTGCAGAACTCCATATTTCTATAAACTAATCTCAATAAAATAAATAATCAAAAACAAGCTTGTAATTAATACATTTGTGTCTAGGATCTTGAACTTGTTACATGATTTCATCAGGTCGACAACCGTTTAATATAAACAGTATGAAATTTCATGAAGCTATAATTAATATCGAGTCTTCTCGGAAACGTAACGTACAAGAATAGTTAAAAGAGCGATCGATGAAAGCCCGAGGCGATGATTGGAACGATTACAGCGGCAATTTTCTTGTCGCTTTACGGTCGAGGAGACAACGAAGGTCTCTTTCTCCTCTCGGAGCATCCGTTTGGATAAAAGAATATCTCACCTGTACGACTGTCCATCGTTAATGCGGAACTTGTTCTTGTTGAGCTGAGCCTGTGTTCGATAGAACAGAAAAATGGATATTGATAGTGTTCGTTAAAAATTGGCATCTTCGGTGAAACTTTCGTTCTACCTGATTCTCGTAGATATCGTAGTCCTGCACCGTGACGTCCTGATTCAGATTGTACTTATCCGCCTCGTTCACCGCGACCTTCTTCGGCTTTTGATACTGCTTCGTGTTCACGTCGCTGATCTTGACGCTCGATTGAACGGGCACTGATTGGTTCACGGTGTACTGATTGTAATCTAACCGGGGAATCGCGGCAAATCGATTACTCGATCCTGATGAGCACTTTGATCACCGCACGTTTCGAATCTTTTACTATTCTACGTTCTTTGCTATAAAAGTTTTTTGCCGCAAGATTTGATTAATGGAAGATGACTAATTGCCAATGTGTAATTGACATCAGATAAGCGTGGAATAATGACGTAAGAACGCAGAACACGTGACTGCGGCCATCAAAGGCTGAATCTTCCTTAGCGACTATCGTGAAGTCTTTTAGAGAAGGCTTTATGGGGCAATAAGTTAATAAGTTACTTACCATCGTCTTTGTAAATGGACACGTCGTCGTCGTAGATCGTGTAATATGGGTAACTCTGGTCGGGATCGTTGTAATAGGACTTTGAGATCACCGGAGCGGCGGTGGATGCCAGGATCTTGGCTACTCGAGGTGACTCGGAGGATGGTACTTGCGTCCTGTTTCATAGAACACTCGTAATCGTACTAATAACCGATTCAAGGATATTGCCTTATATGCTCAAATCTTGTGACATGTGTGTATGATATAACTTTTTGACGAATGTGTATGCTCAATCTTTTTGACATATGTGTATGTTCAAACTTTTTGATGTATGTGTATGTTCAAACTTTTAGATGTATGTGTATACTCAAACTTTTTGACATATGTGTAAGTTCAAACTTTGTTACATATGTGTATACTCAATCTTTTTGATGCATGTATATATTCAATCTTTTTGATGTATGTGTATGTTCAAACTTGTTGATGTATGTGTATACTCAAACTTTTTGATATATGTGTAAGTTCAAATTTTGTTACATATGTGTACACTCAATCTTTTTGATGCATGTGTATATTCAATCTTTTTGATGTATGTGTATGTTCAAACTTTTAAATGTATGTGTATATTCAAACTTTTTGTCATATGTGTAATTTCAAACTTTATTACATATGTGTATACTCAATCTTTTTGATGCATGTGTATATTCAATCTTTTTGATGTATGTGTATGTTCAAACTTTTTGATGTATGTGTATACTCAATTTTTTTGACATATGTGTATGCTCAAATTTTTTGACATATGTATATACCCAAACTTTTTGACATATGTGTATCCTTAATGAACTAATGGCTGCAACTATAGAAATTACTTTCCCTTCTTTGTAGATTATTAATGATCCTAAAATTTGTTTATTTATTTAACATTAATTAGATCGTTTTCTCTTTGTAAGTCTATAAAAGTCATTCCTGAAAAGGTCAAATATCTAACTCCCTGTGACAACGTTTAACATTTAAAGTATTTTAAATTCATCGTTCTTCTAAAAGTGTAATATACTATGTGACTACATTATGTATATAAAGTTAACAAAGTACTTTTCCGAAGATATTAACTTCTGAAGACTAAACTTCTAAAAGTGAAGCTAACATAATGAGAAGCACATTAACACCGTGCAAAACGATTTCACTTCGCAATTTTGTTTTCGCTAAAAAATGCTAACAAGGATCAATTAAGGATTTTCACAGATGATTCAGGTGATTGAACGCATGCGAAAATGATGATTTAACGCGTTTAACGTTACGTAAACGCGAAACAGTCATCCTAGCGAATTAAAGAGGTCCAAAAGCGAAAGAGAAATCGAAGAAAAAGTTCGGTGGCAAGGTAGGTCTGATTTCGAAGTTGATTTTACGTACCTGTAATGGGCTTCCGTTTGGGCACGCGTGCTGACCAAGCTCTCCTTCTCTCTCTCCTGTAACCAACATTGGATTAATTAATTTATATAATGATTGAGTTTAATAGATTCTAATTATGCAATCAAACAGAACATACTGCATGAAAATATATTTAAAATTTGAAGCCACATTTGTATTAAATTATGAAACTACTTAAATATTGTGCAGAAATAATTATTTGAAGAAATATTACTGTTTGAAGTTTGAAATGCATGAATAAAAAAGTATCTAAAATTTATTTTAAATAATCAACGTAAAAGATGGTACTTAAAATTAATTTTAAATTATCAATGTGAAGAAATAATATCTAAAGACATGTTGCTGTTTGAAATTTTAATAAACATAGGTAGAAAAGTATCCACAATTAATTTTAAATAATCGACATAAAAGAATGGTATTTAAAATTAATTTTAAGTTATCAATGTAGAAAATAATATTAAAAAATAATACTACTGTTTAAAATTTTAAAAACACTACATAGAAAAGTATCTAAAATTAGTTTTAAATTGTCACTATAAAAATAATAATACATAAAGAAATATTGCTATCTAAAATATTAAAAAAGCACATTTAATAAAGTATCTAAAATTAATTTTAAATTATCAACGTCAAAAAGAGTTACTCCATCTTAATTAATATATAAATAAATATTGCTGTTTGAAATATTAAAAAAGCACAAACAATAAAGTATCTAAAATTAATTTTAAGTTACCAATATAAAAACGAGCTACTCCATATTAGTTAATTTTGTTGCTCAAAATCCATCTATTTAAAAAAATTAATAAAACAACAAGACAAATAATTATTTAATACCATTAATTTACTACCAAGTACGTCTCAAAGAAACTCCCACAATTAAAAGCTCACCGAAATCACGTTTCTACGGAGGCCATCCCTGTCCCGCTGCACTTGACCAATGGTAGAAGGTTGACCCCTATAAACACGTTGCTGTCTATCACTTTCGATTTCCGTCGCAGGCTCATATTCGTCTTCGTGGTAATTTCTAGCCTGCTGTCTCTGTCGAATAGGTTTCTCCGTAATCTGTGGCACAGGAATCTGAGTAGTCGTCGCTATCGGTTGTCTCTGAATAGGACGTTGTTGCTGTTGTTGCTCGCGTCTCTGCTGCTGTTGCTGTTCTCGTTGCAGTTGATGCTGTTCGCGCTGCAATTGCTGCTGCTGTTGCTCACGTATGGGTTGCGATCGTTGCTGTTGCTCTTGCAGGGTCTCTATCTTTGCTGACCTGGGCAATTTCACGATTGCAATACATTAATTGCGGGTTTCCGCGTGTTATGGGTCGTTTCGTCGACCTTTTCAAACCCATGGGTTTCGCAAGCTGTTGCGGCTTTCTGGGATTCGGTGTGTTATTTCGATGTCTTAATTGGGTGGGTCGAGAATTTTTCAATCTTGCGGATTTCCAAATACGTTGATACGAAAATTTGAAATCAGGATCATGATATATGTGTATGACAGATATGTACATATGTAGGTATAACACATGTAGGTACAACACATGTAGACATAACACATGTAGGTACAACACATGTAGGTATAACACATGTAGGTACAACACATGTAGACATAACACATGTAGGTACAACACATGTAGACATAACACATGTAGGTACAACACATGTAGACATAACACATGTAGGTACAACACATGTAGACATAACACATGTAGGTACAACACATGTAGACATAACACATGTAGGTACAACACATGTAGACATAACACATGTAGGTACAACACATGTAGACATAACACATGTAGGTACAACACATGTAGACATAACACATGTAGGTACAACACATGTAGACATAACACATGTAGGTACAACACATGTAGACATAACACATGTAGGTACAACACATGTAGACATAACACATGTAGGTACAACACATGTAGACATAACACATGTAGGTACAACACATGTAGGTATAACACATGTAGGTATAACATATGTAGGTACAACACATGTAGGTATAACACATGTAGGTACAACACATGTAGGTATAACACATGTAGATATAACACATATATTGTATACATACGTATGTGTAACATATGCACGTGTAACATAAGTATGTGTAACACATGTACACATAACACAATATTGTATACATACGTATGTGTAACATATGCACGTGTAACATAAGTATGTGTAACACATGTACACATAACACATAAATGTATACATACGTATGTGTAACATATGCACGTGTAACATAAGTATGTGTAACACATGTATGTATAACACATATACATCTTCATATGTATGCATCACACATGTATGTATACCACACATACGTAAGACCTCATGTACCAATAAATTCATTTAACCTCAAATATATCAAATACCAAAGTGAACAAAAACATAACAAAATTTGAAAAATTCTTCAAACCTTCCAGAATTTTCACGCAGACCCTTACATAACAGTAATTAATCGAACCCGGAAGGCATACTTCGTTTATTTGAATAAAACAAGACCGTATCGTTTTTGGAAGCCGGATCAGATCGAGAGGACGAATTCGTTGACAGACACGATCGATCTCGCGGTAAACTAGTTCCGTGAAAACACGTTGCCGGTAATGGCAAGGACATCGTACAAGACGTTAAGGAACCGATGTTGAGAAACAACTTCTTTCCCCCGATTATGTTCGCGTACAATACGTTAATGAGCGACCAGCAACGACCGTTCGTTGCTTAACTTCTTACACAAGGGAGCAGCTGCTGAATATAACTCGAAAGAAATGAAAGAGAGAGTGGGAGAGTGGATTCAATCGTAGGCTACGTTATACAACAAATTCGCCGCGTTTCCGTTTAATCCTTTCGGATAGACGCTTGGAGAACGGGCAATTAACTGGACCACCTTGATGGACCATTTCGTTATTTTTCTTTGTGGAGTGAGTCGAATTTAACGATTACTCACACGAGACAGGCAAATTGAAAGAGTTCTTGAAATACGGCCTTCGAGTTTCTGTTACAATTTTAATTTTTTATGCGAGACATTTGTAATACTGTCAGAAGAAAATTTTATAGTAAACATTGCAAGTTTATAAACATGTTTTGTAGCAAAAATTACAAGCATGTTTACAAGAAAATTTTGCAGCAAAAATTGAAAGAATGTTTACAACAAAATTTTGTAGCAAAAATTACATGCACAAGACAATTTTACAATTGCAGTAACAATATAGTAACCACTGCAAGAATTTTTACAAGAGAATTTTACAGTAAAAATTGCAAGTATGTTCACAAGAAAATATTGCAGCAAAAATTGCAAGTAAATTTATAATAACATTTTTTAGCAAAAATTACAAGCATAAGACAATTTTATAATTGCAGTAACAATATAGTAACAACTGCAAGAATATTTACAAGAGAATTTTACAGTAAAAATTGCAAGTATGTTCACAAGAAAATTTTGCAGCAAAAATTGCAAGAATGTTAACAAAAAAATTTTGTAGCAAAAATTACTAGCATAAAACAATTTTACAATTGCAGTAACAATATAGTAACAACTGCAAGAATATTTACAATAAAATTTTACAGTAAAAATTGCAAATAAATTTACAACAAAAATTGAAAGTAAATTCACAAAAAGATTTTCAAGCAAAAATTGCAAGTTTACAAGAAAATTTTAAAGCAAAAATTACAAGTTTAAAAGTAAACTTCAGGCTCTAAGTCCTTTCAAAATATTCCAAAACCAATTCCTGGAACTTTCATAATAATTTTCCTTACGATATCTTTTGATTCTCTGTTCGACTAAATTTGTAAATGTTATGTCTGTAAAAATTGAAAATCTTCAACTTGCTACATACACTATGTTCGTAAATGCCTACACTGTACAGCAAATTGCTTACGAATGACACGTAACACTCACCTTTCCAGCAGCGGATCTTCTTCGTTTTCCTTACCGGGAGATCCACCTTCGGCACAGCCCACATTACGTGGCCAATCGCACGTCTGCAACTCATGACTGCCAAGAAGAAAACGGGTCTCATAATATTTGTATTTATTGCCGATATCGTCGTGATTACATCGGAGATGCCGTAATCAAGCGATATGATACCTTAGCAAAATCCAGATCGTTTCGAGTAACGGTCCGATTCGTTAGAAGGATTAGATTCGTTATGGAACGATTTTCAAAGAGCAATTTACTGGGATTGGAAAATTGGGTGTTTGGAATTCAGAATCGTGTTTCAGGTAAGTTCACGAGCGTCCTTAATTGGACACTCGGTGTTACCGGTCATCGAGGGCCGGTTTTACAACGAACTCGTTTGTACGCACTGTCGTGCACAGAGAGAGAAAGAGAGAGAGGTGTGGCAGGTATTTTTTTCTCCAGGGTTACACGAGCACGGCTACGACCCCCTTTTACCTCGTTAATCCAGATCGAAAGTGTAGCAGTATCGTAATCGCGCGTTACGACGCCCCCGACACCTAAATCCGCCAGATATTTCTGCAACGTTTCAAGGTTCCGGAATCGTCAGTGATAAAAGCGATCCGAAGAGGCTTTTGATCTTCTCGTAAATTACGCTGTAAACTTCGAATTCTATCCTGTTCGCCCACTGTGAACGCATTGTTAGGGTTTTTGACTTTTTTAGTGCTTCAATAGGGAAACAGGTTTCTGCAAAATCGAGACTTGTTTGAAATTCCATGGCGATACAGGATGTCCTTTTTTTCTGATCGCTAAAAATAAATTCAAGTTTCATTCCATAAATCTTACGAAATTTTTTACATTATTCCGCATAAAATTCGCGACACCAAAATGGCGTTTATGTTTTATTCGACACAGTGTCTCATAAAAGTTGCAACGGTTTAGCAGGAATATGCGAGGGAACAAGAAATAGAAATCTCCGTGGAATCTTGTAATTTGCCCCGCGAACACTGGAGAATACATCCATTATGGCTGTCTATATCTGGACGACAATACCCTGCCGCGATTTCGCTTTTGATTAGACGCCTTGTATTATTCGCTCGCGTTTCAATTCAACGTGCTACTAATTTCCGTCCATATTTGTCGAACGGGTTTGAGAGAATTTACGGTTCGCTTTGTACTTTGCACGTGCACCTGTCCTTTTCGATCAATTATCTACGTTTCGCGACAGTAATTATGATTACGAAAAGATCGCTTTGATCATCCAACTATTCGTGCTGGTCGATACATTAGAATTCCAACCCTTTTTAAAACGCTGCTCAAATTATCTTTAAGAGTTTCATAGATGTAGTTTAATATTTTGAGGGATTTTTAGGACTATAAATTAATTTTATTATTTACTTTTTTTGAGGTAAGAAAGGTAAGATTTTTCGGAATTTTGGGAAGGAATTTTTTATGATATCTTGTTAGACGATTATTGATCGAAAAACCATGTATACATATAGAAGAAAATCCAGAAGAGTAAGAGGAGGAATTTTTCATAGAAGAAAATCCAGAAGTGTAAGGGTAGGAATTTTTGGGGAGGAATTTTTCATAGAAGAAGATCCAGAAGACTGAGGGTGGGAATTTTTGGGGAGGAATTTTTCATGATATCTTGTTACATGATGGTCATTGAAACACCATGTATATATTACAGTAGAAGATCCAGAAGAAGAGTAAGAATTTTTGAGGAGGAATTTTTTATAATATCTTGTTATATGATAATTGGAACACCATGTAGACAGAACTCGTCAAGTTTCCATTTGATCAACTGATACGAAAAGCAAGAATTGTGTAGATGGTTAGGTCCAAGAGAAAATCACCGACACAATTGCGATTGTTACCTGTACATCAATCCTCCTGTGCAAGACTCGAGAAGAGCACCTCCGAATACGCAGACATAATATTGAGTGCAATCACGCGGATGAGGGTAGTAACCGAACTCTTCGGGGCACTCGAACTCCAAGGCCGCCTCGTTTCTACTCGCCCTGGCGCTTCTGGGGATGTTCCTTTGGCATCCTGCAAGCAAAAATATTTCTTTCAATTCCAAATACTTTACAGAAACCTTTGATATAAAAAACATTAATATTGCAATATTTTAATATTGAAACAATAAAATGCGTAAAATCCACAACCTTAATATTATAATATTTTAATACTGAAACAACAAAATGCGTAAAAATAAAAATAAGGATAAAAAAACATTTTGCAGGTCTGACATTCTAAATGAAAATAAAATCTCGCAGTCTCACGATCCACATCGTACTTTGTATCAGCACTATCGCGACAGTGAAAACGTTAATAGGTAAAACAAACAAAACAGAGAGTATGTGAGAGCTCACTGCACGGTGAATTATCGTACATGCTCATATCGTCGCGTGCTGGAACGTGAACGGTACACGAAACGGCAGATTATGCAATCGAGTGTACATAACCGGATTTTTGGCCGACCTTGCTGTACGTAGTCATCGAGTCGAGACACTGAAACAGTTGGTAAGAAAAAAGGCGCCTCGAGACGAGGCGAAAGAAGGAAACGAGACACCGGCGCCAAATTTTCGTAATCGACCATCCCCTCCATTTTGTCTGCTCCCATTTCGTGTTTTGATCTTCGCTTTCGGATTCTGTCGGTAAAATAAAAAAATCTGATCGTTCATATACTGTATGAGACGTTTGTTACCGCTTCGTTACCTAAATAACATTCTATCGTTGAAAATGGTCTCTCTGCTATTGTCTCGGTGGATTCGATTATCCCACCTTAAGGTTTTCTGGCACAATTTCATCGTGGGACCGCGGCACCGCTGGAACGACGAATTGATTTGTTGGAAACGTGACTTACGCCATTCCTCTTGTACTTTCGACGTGAGAATACGTGTGTCTACGGAATAACGTTCAATCCTGGCTTCTTGTATGTAAATTTTTCTCTTATGTTACCGTTCGTGTAACGGTGCTGTTTCTAGTTGAATCCCCAAAAAAATTCGACACGTGCGTTACGTGCGTATGAGTTATGAGTACAGGGTGATTCACAAAGAATGTTCAGAAGAGCATTACACTGTTACTGTTGCAGTTTCTCAATAATAAAATCAGTACAAACTTTTCTGATAGCCTAACATAAGTATTGTGTTCCAGGACACAAGATGAATTTCAAAAATTCAGAGATGTTTATTTGCCATATATAGTTTTATTGTCAAACATTTATTGTAAAATGTAACACGAGAATTATATCTTTTGCTTTAACCAATTGTAGCTGCATCTTTAATGTTCTTACAAGTATCCTTTAACTTAACCTTTTAACGTTCTCCATTTTGTGTTTTTTTCATTAATAATTAAAAGCACCTTCAAACTCCATTTTCGCAAAGGAAAAAGCTTAAAATCTCCTCAGCTACCACCCTTCTCCAAAAGTTACGCTAATTGTGAAACACCCAGTATATTTATCTATAAACTGCACAACTGCACTTATCTATAATCTCCTCAATTGTCAGTGCGGCACTCGTGTTTTTATCGTGGCATTCGTATCGATTAACTGTCTATAAATTTCTTGGGAGTAAATTTCAGGGACACGGGGGAAGATAATGTCGCGGTACAAACTCTTCCTGGCGACAATGAAAGTACAGAGTCGAAGGTCGTCGAGAAAAATCGAAATCGAGGAAAGGCGAGGTCTCGAGCGGGATCACGGTCGACCTTGGGCGAATATGGTTCACGAGGAACGAGAAAAACGAGCATTTGGAGGAACACATCCTGGTACCGTTCTCTTGGCCGACCTTCCATGGCGACCTTGCCACCGCAGGGTCGACGTACCCACCTTACGATCCTAAAATTCTTTTCTCCTGATTCTCTCGAATTGCTTCTGTTGCAACGGGGACTCCCTGTAGTGCAAATTGGGTAATCAATAAAATTTTCTGAGAAACACCTTTCAAACTAGCTTAGCCTAATATTCATCCATCTTGTAAGATGTTGCGCTTATAAGAAAACATGCCTTTCATTCGTATCGGAGATTGCCTCTTTATGCGATGTATATACGCGATTTTATAGGTTACTGCGATGATTTTCTTCAAAGGTAAGTATTGACCTTTTGTAATGAACAATAAATTCATTGTAAGTTGAGATGAATACCGCATACTTTTTGCTAGATTGCTCATCAGTTACAAAAAGCTTGCATTCACACGGTGCAATTGTGTTTTCAAAATGTAACTGTATTTCCTGTGATTAATAAAGGTCAGTAGACCTCAGGCAAATTAAATACTCCTCATTCGCAACGGCATACCGCACGAAGCAATTACAGAACCACAATCCGAAATCACGTCCACGAGAATGCGAGGCTGCTGTAGCGTAATATCGTAAGCACGAATACGGGATTGCGAAATTAAATTCTGTTCGTATTTCTAATTACCGGCAAAAGTTGCCCTGGATAGCAACAGATCCGTTACATTTGGAAATGACATAACGCTAAGTTGTGAAACTTAAAACCATAAAAAGCTTATTATACGAATATCTTAAAATCTTGTCCATTGTAAGAAGAATAATCTTGTCCATTATAAAAAGAATAATCTGTCTTGAATTATGAAAAGAATTTTGTCTATTATAAGAAGAATGTCTTGAATTATAAAAGTCTTGTACTATAAAAATTTTAAGCTTCATTTCAAATGGCGATTATTTTCTTTTGACCATACAAAGAGTAAGTCAGGTAATTTGATTAATGATTCGAATTGTCTCGCACTATTATGTCATTTATACCATAAGGTTATGCATTCAATTACGCAAACGAAAAGTAAGATAATCCCTTGACCTACCAACAATAAATCTTTTCTTACCTACACAGTTCTTTTGTTCCAATTTTAAGCCTTTTCAAAATATGAAAGATCGATGAGGTTTTTGAAAACCTTTGGTTTACAATGGTGACGGGATTCAAATACATGTGGCAGGTAGATTGGAATCTGGACACATTGTAACGTAATTATATTCTTCAAGAAAACTGAGTCTAACCTGGAGTTTACTTTTGTTCTCCGTTTAAAGGGAAATTTGCCCTAATGTAACCCCTTGTCTTATGACACACCACAGTTCAAATGTAACAAAAATAAACTGTACTTGTCTTGCAAAGTTTTGAGTTCAATATGTTACTATTTGCACATTTAAAGATTGCTAAATTCAAAGTAGGTCTCACATTTGAAGTTTTATTATTTTGTTATTTATGACAGATTTTGTGATGGACAGAATTGTTGAAAAATTGTAGGTTGAGGGGTTAAACTGTTCTCCTACTTATGAACAATATTAAAATAAAGTGAAACATTTGTTTTTGAATTTCCTGAAATTTCTGAGTGATTAATTTCCTGTATTTGAATGGTGATTCACACTTAATAATTTGAATTTGCACTAAATAATTTGAATTTGAACTAAATCTGTAGTGTTGCACGAGAGGCAGAACAAAACAAACAACAGTGGTGACTAACTATAACGTCAGTATTAAAAGAATTCCTCAAACTTTCCTACCTAAAAAATTAAAAAATTGTCAAACAGCAAAAGTGTCTTCAAATGCAAAGTTTTAACCCTCTCATTTCTACTCACAGTAACAAAATCGCACGAAACGAAATACCGCTTAAACCCATCACTACTTCTCACAATATCAAGCACAATTTATAAACCGAACCGAGACTAAATTCCGCCATCAGGAAACGGTACAAATCGCAGGCAATTAACAAAATCGTGTGCGTTCGATTTCACCAAGGAAGTCCTATGGTTTGCCTCAATTTCGCGATACAATTTCGACCCGTTCGCAATCTATCAGCTGTTATTCGACCACGAGTGAATTTCTCTTCTCTCAGCTTCCTCCTTGGCCGTTGGATCATTTGAAGCAACGTTTCGCAATCCCTCGAGCAAAAAGGGTTCTCTCGCTAAACGATACCGATACTGCTCGAACACAGGTTTGTTTTCCAGTTTCATTGCCAGACATCGGGCCACCACGTAACACGAGAACCGAGCGATCGGTTAATTTCGAAGGCAACGGGGATTAGAACGCGAACGATTTCGCGCGAGCAGGCTTTGGCGGCTCCGTTGCGAAAGACGTTTCAGACGTCGTTTCCACGTCGATCTCGTAAATCTTGGAAATTTATACGGCTCGTTTAACACGCTTCCGCCTTGCAACCTCTTAGAAAAATAAGGGAAGTCTTCTACAAATGCAGAAGTATTTGTCTTCTACAAATACGGAAGATTTACTCATCAAGGAAGATCCACCAGGTCTGTCTAATATTTTGCATACAGCAAACACTTATCTACGCCAGAAAACAAGGTCCTCAATTACCAAATTGTAACCAAATTTCCGTGCAATATGTTCAGCTAAGGAACAAGGTGGACACGCGTTAACGAAATACATGCACGCTTCTTAAACCGTTCAAGCTGTCCGATATTATGCAAGTCGTGTTCCAGTTTTAAAGCCCCGCTTCGGTATTCCAGCTCACTTTCACTCATTCACTTGCCAGCTCTTTTATCATAGCCCCGCTATCTTTGTCTCGCTCTGTCCCTCCCCGTTTCGCGATCTATCCCTCACCAATGTTCGACTAGCTTTTTCTCTCTCGTTGCCATTCGCATGACTTTCACTTCTCTCAACTTCGTAAGCCGCTCGTTCGCGTTGCAAACCTCCACCGTGGAACGCCTTTACGTTAGAAAACCGCAAGTCGCATGATTTATGAACAACCGGACGTTTGTTGCTTCGGAAGTAATTCCGATCGAATCGCTTCCCCTTCGAGTTTCGCGTGATTTACTATTTTCAATTTTTCGTTACTGCGACCGTAAACCCCTCAGAGATCAATTGTCACAATCTTACTATTGTTGTCTTATCTTACAAAATATAAGTTAGTTTGAGAACCTGGAAGTATCGCAAGTTTGTAGACAAAGTACTTTAATAATTGATATTGATAATCAAGTTTTGAAAGATGAGCACTCATGAATGCTCAGATTTTGTGAGGAGCCTAAATCTTATTTATTCGAATAATTAATTTTCTTTTTTCATGTAAGAACACGTGAATGGT